TTAGAGGCAGTATTCATTTCTCCGTTTTTAACTTTCAATGGCAATGTTGGTAAAGTGAAACTCAGTAGGTAGTAGGTACACGGCTCAGCTACTCGTAAGGGATCTGGCGAACAGGGGTGCGACATAGAATGCGACATGTTTCTTCGAACGAATTTACTGTCTGTTATGTCACTTTATTCACTTGCATGATGTGTATTTGGGCCAATGTTTTAATTTTTGTCATTTGGATATTAAGGCTTGAAAAATGCATTTTTTGTCGAAACACGTGTAGCCATTCAGAAGAAAATATAATTAAAAATAGTTCCCATTGTTTATCCCATAATAATAATGATATATATAAATACGTTTAGCGCATTTACTTTAAAAAATATATGAATTTTCTATTCAGTATAATTTCACAGGCCTGAACTTTCCACTCGCATGGTCCGTTTGGCAGCAGAATTTTACATTTTCCCACTGGCACCCAAGCCCAGATAGTACTTTCGGGGCTGAGCTGGGGTCGCGCAAGCAGCCGCTTCCGACGTCGCAGGTTCATATCCGGCTCCACATCCGGCTCCTGAACGCAGCCACAGGGATCGTGAGTAGAGGTGGCAAAAGATGAAAATTTTGGGAACCAGACTCGAACCAGACCCGGCTGGACATTTCTGGAACCAGTCGGACCCGGTCTTAGTTGGAATCGGAACCAGTTGGACCCGTTCCCCAAAAGTCAATTAATAAAAACTGCTTGTAGGTATCATTAGTTGCATCATGTAAAACAGCCTATTTCCCACTGGGAATACTCATGAGCTACTGTGTGCAAAGAAACATTCACTTCATATTTTGCAATAATGTGTAGTGCGCAAGATGTATAGTTATGGTAGGACCCGGTTGGACCCGTCAGAAAATTTCCAGGAACCGGTCTGGACCCATATGGGTCCAGTCCAGACTGGTTCTTTGGACCGGGTCCTCGGGTCCACATTTTGCCACCTCTAATCGTGAGGCACCTCAACCGTGCACCCGACCAGACTGTCGTTCACGTAAAGCTGTGTGTTCCGTACAAGCCTGTCGTGATTTTCCTATGTTCTTCAAAATGCCGGCATTACTGTGACCTTCTTGATTATCACCTGTTTCTCCCTCTTATTCGCTGTCTGATGGTATTTTAACGTCGGTGTTGTTTAATTCTCTCCGTCCGTTTCCGTCTGCAGGGCGCGGCAGTCCAGTCCATGTGGGGCCCAGCCCATGTGTGGCCCTGACCGTGGTGCATACTTCCGACCCCGTTTGCATAGGCGGCGGAACGGGGAGGGCACCGGGGCACAGTGCCCCCTTTGATTTTGACATTTTAACATTAGCCCTATGGGCGTTGCATGGAAAGAATGGGACCAAAAGTCGACAGTGCCCCCCCCCCCCCCTTAATTGAAGGTGTTCCGCCGCCACTGCCCGTTTCAGTTGTCACCAGAGTGTCGCTGGGGAGACGACCCGACCGAAGTTCTCTCCCCGGCATCGAACGAATATAGCTATAGCCGACAACCACGAGTATCTAGACGGTAGACCCGATTACCAAACGAGAAGCCGAGCTCGAAACCGAGCCAAAACGAACTCTGCAACGCTGTGTTATCGGCCCAGCCGGGCGTGCACGAGTCGCCGTGCAGACAGGGTGCTTGGGCCAGACAGGCGTCGTCCAGGACGCAGCGCGGGTCGGCGGCCGTGTAACCGGGCCGCAGCTCGCAGTGGCAGCTGTAGCTGGGCCGGGTGGCGGCGCTGCGCCTGTAGGTGCCCTTCCTGCGGTCCGCAGGGCGCGCCCAGTCGGCACGGGTCGCGCGGCTGCTGACACAGCGGCCCACAGCCAGCGATAACCGTGGCGGTACGGGACCGCAGCGGCCACCATAACAAGACCACCACACTCCACACAGGTTAGCCTGCACGCAGCTCAAGTCGTCCAGAGAACGCGGCTGCAAGTTGCAGCGCGTCTGGCAGCTGCAGCTGTCGGCGACGCTACTGCGCTCGGCCCGGTGGCCAACCTGCCGATATTGGAGCGCCTCACCGTCCGCCCACGGGTTCAGAGGCTCGGCACCCACCAGTTGCGGCCGGAGCGAGAGTGCGTTCGCGTCGAGCACGCTGCAGCGGCCGCGCAGGTAGTACAACACGTGATGCTGGTTGTCACCAAAGATGGCCGTGTCAAGCCGCTGGCCCAGGCGCTGCCACGATTACCGGTGCGCCGAGCCGGCCGAACAAGCACCAGCTAACGCCCACTGCGGCAAGTGGCCTGCAAACTGCGGAATGCACATCCCTCCACTCAACATCTTTTTGAGCATGAAAATCGTCCTTGTCCCAAGTGGTCCCCCCCCCCCTTCCCATAATGGACGCCAGTTAGTTTTTGCCAATATCATAAAAAGGTAGATATTGGCCAGCCTCTGGCATCAGACACCAGCGCCCAGAAAAGAATGTACTTTAGGGGTCTGAAGCAGAATCAGTTGCAACTTGCAATTGTAATAATTTGGTAAAGCAGAGTCCTGATTGGTTCCAGTCCACTGAAGTTCTACACAGTCAGTCTGCAAGATTTATTTCACAATAATTACCTGTTATTTACACACAACACAAATGCTATAGGCAATGGGTGCCTTAGCACTGAGAATATTACCTTCTGAAGATGGAGAAAAAAGATAAGATATATGTTCTATGCAATTCAGAATCAGTAAAAAAAAAAAATCAAGTTAGGAACTGCCCTTGTAAACAGGTAGGTACCTATACAATGGCACTTGGCTTGGCAACACAGACTCGCAGTTAAACTTGGGTGATAAACAAGGTACTTTATTTTCTGATTTTGGATTATTTTGGTGGAGATTTTATATTTTGGTATAAACTGACCTACATTATTCACACAAAAACCATAGATAGGTATTCATTTCACTGAACATTATCTTCCATGTACAAAGACCCCGTTCAAAGCCAAAAGTTGGGTTTTTGCCCCCCCAAACCCAAAAGACTCATTGTGTGTAAAAGCAAATCTTGTCACCAACCCCAAAAGCGACTTCTCACTAAGGTAAGGTCAAAAGAGAAATTTGTCCCGAGTTCAAAAATTATTTGTCGCTAAGCCCACAAGCTGCTTTAGTCACTAAAATCCAAAGCTATTTTTCCTCTATGTCCAAAAGCAAATTTTGATCCTAAACTCAAAAGTAACTTGTCGCTATGCCAAAAAGCGGCATTTCCACAAAGTCAATTTTTTTTTGCTAAGCTGAAAAGCTGCTTCAGCCCCTAAAACCCATCAGCTATTTTTCTGCTATGCCCAAGAGCAAATTTGACTCAAAACCCAAAAGCGAGTAGTCGCTAAGCTCAACAGCGAAATTTATCCAAAGTAAAGAAATTATTTGTCGCTAAGTCAAAAATCTGCCTTAGCCCCTAAAATCCAAAAGCGACTTTTGACCCTAAACCCAAATGTAACTTCTCGCGAACTCAAAAATGACATTTGCTAAATAAAGTCAAAAAATTATTTGCCGCTAAGCCAAAAGCTGCTTCAATACCTAAAATCCAAAAGCGACCTTTCCGTTATGCCCAAAAGCAAATTTTGACACTAACCCCAAAAGTGACTTGTTGCTAAGTTGAAAGGCAACATTTGCCCAAGTCCATAAAAGCTTGTCGCAAAGTTCAAAGGCTGGCTGCTTTTGACCCCAAAATCCAAGTGACCTTTTTCCATGCTCAAAAGCAAAGTTCATTTTTGTCCTTGTCGCTAAGCCCAAGTGACTTACCTACTGATGGGTCAAGAACTTACTTTTGGCCCAAGACCAAAAAAGCAAGTTTGTGCGGTAGTAGTATACAGTGGTGGATCCAGCTCAGTTTTTTTTTTGGGGGGGGGGGCAAACCATAACAATTTATTGATTCTTTCCGTGCCTCGTCCATAGGCGTAATGTTAAAATTATGCCGTTTGGGAGGGGAAAATGCCCATTTTGCCCCCCCCCCCCTCCCTGGATCCACCACTGGTAGTAGGTATAGCAGGCATCATGCTTGTTTTTTTTTTTTTGCAACCAAGGGGAGGTGCTGTAGGTTAGGATGTAGGTTGTGGGTTTCAGGTTGTAGGCAGGGGCGCGGGAACTACTTTCCGACTGGGGGGGCACACCATAATAGAGATCAACCTAGGGTACCCCCAAATCTAGTTTTCTCACCGGTTTTAGGCCACTTATTTTTCAACCCTCGGCTTTTTCAACAAAAAAAAAAGAAAACATTTGCAAAAAAGTGTGGTATTCCGTCTCAAAGCTGTGGGGGCACCGCCCCCACGGCCCCAGAGTTGGGGGGCAAGCTGCCCCCACTGCCCCCCCGGCTCCCGCGCCTATGGTTGTAGGTGGTAGATTTTAGGTTGTAGGTTGTAGATAAGGTTAGGTTAGGTTTAGTTATTTTTGGTTTGGTTAGGTTTGATAAGAAAGCTCTGGGTATAGCGCCTCTCCTCGGTTGCAAAAAGGAGTGTGATGCCTGCTTTGCGACTAACGTTTGTGCAATATCAAACACCAAGCATTTCACCTAGATATTAGGTAATTTACAAATGTAATCCTGAGGCTGGATTCAAACGTTAACAGGCACTAAATCTGGATACGATACCTACTACAAAAGAAAATCCATGAATTGCGCCAGGATTTAACAAATCACAAAAAATGGAACAGCCATTTGGCTCATTTTTGAAGAATAGTCATTCTTACGAGTAAAAAGACAATTGTATTTATATTAAGTTCTTGTTTTACTATTTTCTTGTAATATTCATATCATCCAGATAAATATTCAAATAAATATTTTCGATGTTACCTCTATTATGATCAGTAAAACATTCAAGCCGATAGGTAGGCATTTTCAGGCATTTTATATTTAGCAACTGCCGAGACCAAAGCGACGCGGGCAACAAAAGAAACCGCGGGGATAACGTCATTTTGAGTCATTAGATAGACATAAATGGTTTTAAGTACAAGGCATCTGCACATTTAACACTCAAAACAATACAAATTAGCATTTTTATTGATAGACAATTGCCTAGATCTTACCGTCGAAATCGAAGTCGCCCAGCGCGCGAATGGCGGACTGGTAGTTGATAGAGCTGGACACCAGTACTTCTGGATGGGCGTGTTGTCATTTCAAGGTGCCTATTTACTACCTATTTAAAAACGCTAGGTATGAATTTGTTATTATTTAATCTACCTGCCACCCAAAACCGAAAACATCAAAATATTTGCAATTGTACATGCAAAATACCTACCCATTCCATCATCACAAAGTACCATCTCTTTCATACGTCATCAATATGGCACAGCAGAAAGCTGAAATGCCCGGCGGATTTGTGTGAACGCGAGGGAAGTCACGTGACCTTGAGTCACACTCTTTATGGCAAAATCCAGTAAAAAGGGGCCCATCTGATATTTATACAGACGTTATATCACGACATAAGGAAGGCGTTGTGATGCTCAGCATAGTGGTGCCCGATTTTCGGGCACCACTATGCAAACGGGCACCACTTCGCGTAGGTGTATCGGACAAAGGGCACCACTACGCTGGTCTTACAAACGCACTCACACACACACACACACACACACTGCTCGAACGGGTCGAGGGCCACGCCGTTCGACCGCACACTTCACAAAGCTCTCACAGCAAACGTGCTTCAGAATCTCACTCAACGTCTCAGCCCTCCAGGGAGACACATGCGCACGTGTTTACTCTTCTTCCGACAGCCTCACTAATCCATTCTTCAGGCTGCACACAGATCAACTAACAAAAAACCGCGCCCTGTCTTCCGACGGACGTCCGGCCACTGCACCCAAAGCTCTTGCCGCGAACGCACACGGGGCCACTTCGCTTTACCCATTCTACACGACAGGGGCACCGTCTCACGCCAGCGCATCTAGCCCAACCGCCAGCCATATCTCCTCGTAGCACCGTAAGCCAAACAAGAAGCGACGATCAACCGCACACACGACGGGGGTCAGGATGTCGAGCTGGGCCGGCTGGCCCTCCGGTGCTACTGAGCACGCCACTATTAGCACTAGTCTAGCCGGCGGCGGCTTCGGGCAACGAGTGACGAGAGTGGCTCGGAAGCGGCGGCGCTGACTGCTAGTAGCCTACACGGGTATCTCGTAGTCTTCCAGCGGGTCCCAGGCCTTCTTTTCGCCCATGGCAGGGATGCGGATGATACCTCCCTCGCTGGGAAGCATGGTGAGTCCGTCGGAGAGGAACTCGTCCACCTGCCGAGCCACCTGGCGACCCTCGGAGATGGCCCACACGATCAGCGACTGGCCGCGGCGACAGTCTGCAACGAGACAGGGCAAACGAATGTAAGACGGGAGGGACTTGAAGTCCGAGAGCCGGAGGCACACCCAGTCAGACAGGGAGGGGACACTCGGTTACGGGAATGTCTATTCGGACAGAGGGGTTCGGAAATAGTTAGAAAAGGCAGTTATGTAATGATTTAACAGGCTGGCCTCAATGGGAAATGACTGCAATAACAGGTCAAAGGGAGCTGTACGTGGAAGGGCAGGCTGCATTACACGCTGGCAGGAACGAAAAAAAAAAGTAAAAGAAAACACATTTATAAGAAAAAAACGCCGCTAAGGCAATCTTATTTCGACAGTCACTTTATCTGGCAATGCAGTGGTTTCAAGTTCTTACAAATGGGGGACAGTACTAAGACGCGTGTCACAGTCCACGTAAATATCCTGACGCGCTGGGGCTCTCCCGATTGCCTTACCTCCCGCGGCGAACACGCCCGGCAAGCTGGTATTGTATTTTCCCGGCGGAGTCTTGACATTGGAGCGGGGGTCCTGCTCGAGCTCCATCTGCTTGATGAGGTCGGCCTCCGGGCCCAGGAAACCCATGGCCAGGATCACCAGGTCCGCCTTGAACACCTGAGTGACAGACGATAGATATACTCGTAATTCATGTGTTAGGGTATGTCATGTGTTAAGGGAAAACAAGGGGACGCTCATATGATCAAATGCACACTTTACAATAGGTAACTATGAACTTGAAATGCCAGACACAAGCCACACAAGAGGATTACGTACCTACTATACCTTTACAGAGAGTTTTCAAGGCAGAACATTCAGAGATTCGTATTTGTAAATTGAAAAGTAAAAATCCATAAGTGGCAGGACAAAATCAAATATAGCAAAAAAGGAGAGAATACATTCTAGTAAGCCCAAAGAAGACTAGAAGTCAAGTTTATGTATGCATGAAGCTTAAGTTAAGTCGTTAGTACAGTACCGACCTGTTCGGTATCGGGCTGCTCCTTGAGCTGCCAGCGTCCCTCCTCGTCCTTCACCCACTCAACGCGAACGGTGCGTACGCCCGAGACGCGGTCCGAGTCGTCCGACAGAAACTCCTTGGACATGATCGAATAGTGGCGCGGGTCGGCGCCGAACTTGTGCTGTAAGACAGAGAGGGAAGGGCGTCAGGGGCCATTAGTAGAGTATACAGTCTGGGTGAGCGGAGAACGCACTTACAGCTACACAAGATTGATAGAGAGCGAATGAAGTGGTTCTCTCGTAATTTTTGAACGAGATTAACCCGGCAGTTGCTGGGGTATTTCGCCACCCACCGTTTGCTGGGGGGGGGGGGGGGGGCGTTAAACGCCCCAGCCGATAACTCGAGAACCAATAGGCGCAGCGAAACGCACGAGGCGGCAAACGAAAGAACGCGACGAGACGCTTCCGATGAGTACTTTAACCCGCGAGTTGCTGGGGGGGGGGGGCGTTAAACGCCCCCACTTTTTTCGCCGGGCCATAGCATAAAAACGGCGCGCCGCAGGCGCGCCAAATTTTGGGTACCTGTAGGGAATTGATTGAAGTTTATTGTGACATAGTTTCAAAAAAATCGGTCGGAAAATTTTTGAGATATCGAGGTTTTAGTGACGTCATGATTTCTGAGTTTTCGACCAAAAACGGCATATGTTAAAAAAATCATATAAAATCACAGAATAGACATACAGACATGCTGTAAACGCCATTCGACTGCCAATACCATGATCAATCAAATGGCTATCTTCGATTATTGATTATCGTTCCGCATTTACCATAGTCTTGAACTGAATCTTGGCAATTTTTCGTGACTACTTCACGACCATGATACATAAATTTCTTAAATTGAACTTTTTGAGCCAAACACGTACACATATGATAAAATGAATGTTACCATCGTGTTCTACGCCCCAAATTACCTATAAAATATGTGTCACAGGCTGCGAATATCAGTTTTGATTTTCGGGGATATGTGCCTACCCAGTTGACCTGACCTTGACCCTGACCTATGCTTGACTGACCCCTACATGGAGCTGACACTCCTGTAGGCCTTATAAGATGGATTGTGCACCGTTTTGACAGAGTTTATAGCGAGAGGCGCCCATTGCAAAGTCCCGAAGTCCATGCTACTGAAAGCCCGATTTCAGGTGTTTGACCTGACCTTGACCCGACCTGTGACCTCAAAATTTAACTTTAAAGTACTCATCTGAAGCGTCTCGTCGCGCTCTTTCGTTTGCCGCCTCGTGCGTTTCGCTGCGCCTATTGGTTCTCGAGTTATCGGCTGGGGGCGTTTAACGCCCCCCCCCCCCCCAGCAAACGGTGGGTGGCGAAATACCCCAGCAACTGCCGGGTTAAAGTTGAATTTTGAGGTCACAGGTCGGGTCAAGGTCAGGTCAAACACCTGAAATCGGGCTTTCAGTAGCATGGACTTCAGGACTTCGCAATGGGCGCCTCTCGTCAGAAACTCTGTCAAAACGGTGCACAATCCATCATATAAGGCCTACAAGAGTGTCAGTTTCATGTAGGGGTCAGTCAAGCATAGGTCAGGGTCAAGGTCAGGTCAACCGGGTAGGCACATATCCCCGAAAATCAAAACTGTTATTCGCAGCCTATGACACATGTTTTATGGGTAATTTGGGGCGTAGAACACGATGGTGACATTCATTTTATCATATGTGTACGTGTTTGGCTCAAAAAGTTCAATTTAGGAAATTCATGTATCATGGTCGTGAAGTAGTCACGAGAAATTGTCAAGATTCAGTTCAAGATTTTGGAAAATGCGGAACGATAATCAATAATCGAAGATAGCCATTTGATTGTTCATGGTATTGGCATTCTAATGGCGTTTACGGCATGTCTGTATGTCTATTCTGTGATTTTATATGATTTTTTGAACATATGCCGTTTTTGGTCGAAAACTCAGAAATCATGACGTCACTAAAACCTCGATATCTCAAAAAATTTTCCTACCAATTTTTTTGAAACTTTGTCACAATAAACTTCAATCAATTCCCTATAGGTACCCAAAATTTGGCGCGCCTGCGGCGCGCCATTTTTGAGCTATGGGCCGGCGAAAAAAGTGGGGGCGTTTAACGCCCCCCCCCCCAGCAACTCGCGGGTTAAGATGATTTACCGACTTCATAGTGCAAATCATGTTAGAGCATTTACGTAGCAGCAGTTAATAACCGAAATGTATCGATAGCTTCAAATTCAAACTTCAGATATCGCTACCTTCAAGCGGCATCAGCTAACTGACCTTGACCTCCTCGTGTCCGTAGTCGACGCGGAACACCTTGGGCCACTCCGGCCAGGGGTTGTCGCTGGCGCGCGAGTCCGGCGGCCGCGGCAGGATCTCAAATGCCGTCACCGAGCGGGCGCCCTGCCGAAAACGCACGCATATAGGTCAGACATTCGGCGAGTTGACAATCGACTCCATATAAAACCATTGCAGATGATTTTCCCATACCTGCTACATTGCATGATTAAATCGAGACATCCAGGCATTTTAATGGCACGTGCACTGTACCACACTTTTCAAAGTTTAATGCAGTGCCTTAATATTGCCAGCCGTGTGGTTCAAGGGGTGTGGTTAAACGCGTTGAACCACACGGCTGCTGACGTCACTATCAATTATAGTTGTGAGCTTTTTGGCAGGTATGGGAAAGACCTTCCAGCCCTAAGGCCGGGAATTCAATAAATGTCACCTCACTTTTTTAGCGAAAAGCACCTCGGGCCTAACGGCCCTCGGAGTTTTCGCTAAAAAACCTCGGTGACATTTATTGAATCATCCCGGCCCCGGGCAGGAATATATTAACCGAACCAGCTCAAGTCATGTCATCAGGGTCAGCTTCCCAGCTGAGCCTGAGCCTGATAAGATTGCCTGGCAAGCTAGCGTGTGCGCATGACAAAAGAAGAATGGACCCACTTTTAGCTATCCCTTGCAGCAGAATGCACTAAATGCGACTCAATAATCATACAAAACGTCCAACTTAAAACGCTTGTCCATCTCCACATATTCCGAGGTCATATTCCTAAAGCAGCGATGGTCACCATTAGTTTGGATTCCCCGTTACGTACGTGCCGCAGGGAGGTGCCGATGCAGTCGTTGCCCGTGTCTCCGCCGCCGATGACGATGACGTCACGGTCCTTGGCCGAGAGGCGTGTCTCGTCGATGTCGTTACCCATCTGCTTCTTCTGCCACGTCTCCAGGAACTCCATGGCGAAGTGGATGCCCTCCAGCTTCCGGCCGGGGATCGGCAGGTCACGAGGCCAAGAGGCACCCGTGCACAGGACCACGGCGTCATACTCGCTCAGCAGCTCCTGCAAAGGGACGCCGGTGTGGTTTCATACTCATCCAATGTGAAGACTGGAGAGAGACAGGGCAGCACAGGACGTACAGCCCTCAGCAGACTGCGTGGTAGGTATTCTTTTTTCGACAAAACCAAGAATAAGTAAAAGGATGTGTTATTATTCGTCAGAACTCACTACGAATAGATGCGCGTTGCTCCACTCCTTCGACTGGGTCCATCATTAAACAAATTATACGCCTTATGTGGCAACAAAATGCAAAAGTTTGTTTTGGGGGCAAAAATAAACTTTTGTGTTTTGCTGCCAAACTGGATGGAAAATGGATACGATGATAATGCCAATCTAAGGTGCTGAGTCTCGCGCGTCTTGCTGTTACGATTTCCGAGTGACCGATAGCATGGTATTCGCGCTATTCTCGGTTTTGTCGAAAAAAGAATACCTACCACGCAGTTTGCAAAGGGCTGTACTTCATCTGACAGTATTTGCGGGACAGGTAAACATTGTCAATCTTATGAGGGGATGGAATATGACGTCTCACACATCCAGCTGTTTTGTTGAAAGTGAGACGGAGTTTAAGGCCACACTCATGGAGCACATTGATAGAGTAATGGCCGCCAGTCGCGACGACTCCACGTGCCGAGCCGGTCTCACCTTGGGCTTGACGTCAACACCGACATTGCAGTTGGTGACGAACATAACGCCCTCGTCCTCGAGCAGCTTGACACGGCGCGCCACCACCCCCTTGTCCAGCTTCATGGTCGGGATGCCGTACTGGAGCAGACCGCCGATGCGGTCATTTCTCTCCAGCACGACAGCTGTGTGGCCGGCCTTGTTGAGCTGGGCGGCGGCCGCCATGCCGGCAGGACCGCCTCCCACGATAGCGACCTTCTTACCGGTGCGCCTGAGCGGCGGCTCCGGGTGCACCCAGCCCTGGTGGAGAAAAAAGGTAAGGCACGACCGTCAGTGGAGGGGGAGAATGGTAAATCTACCACGGTCTCTAATGAAAATAAGTACCTAATAATGTTCCTGCACTGCACTTACATTTATCTTTTGATGTCATTCCTCGCACAGCAAAGTCCTTACTTCGGAAGAAGGAGTCTTAAATGCTCCCTGATGAACTCTGGACCTCAGGACCAAGACCTACCATACTGACATAAGGACCGCCCAATGACCCACCATTTCGAATCCGTGGTCGATGATGGCGCACTCGATGTTTTTTATGGTAACCGGCGGGTTGATGATGCCCAGCACACAGGCGCCCTCACACGGCGCCGGGCACACCCGGCCGGTGAACTCTGTCCAAGAGAGACGAGTCAGCGAAAGGTAGTGGAGCGGAAGAGGGGGAACGGTACAGGCGACTAGCTTGTGGGACTGCGCCTTGTCAAAGCCATACGCAAAAATAATAGATAGCGAATAAGGCGGCATTTGCATGAAGTGCGTCAATTACATTTGTTAGTACTTAACGCAAAAAAATAAGAACAAGGCAATCTGTAACGAGCCCAAATTAGACTGTCTTTTGTAAGCGACGGGACGATTGCCATGCATACACAGAATAGCATATATAGCATTTTAGATAAAAAGGAGTGGCGATGGTAAGAGCTGACAAGGCAAACATAGTCAATCTTTCCTCTCCATCTAATCCCTGTATCCATGACCGAACGCGCAGGTCTCCACCAGTGGTGTGCCCCCACAGACCATCTGCCACACTGACCGGGGAAGTTGTTGGTCTGCAGCAGGTGGTCCAACGCCTCCTCCCACAGACCCTTGTACACCAGGTCGTTCCACTTGGGGATGATGTTGCCCAGCGGACAGCCGGTGGTGCTCTGACACATCGGAGTGCCGCACTCCATACACCTGGCAGAGAGCAAAGCAGCGATTAGAAAACAGTCAGACACTAAAGACAGAAAGACGAGCGGTGAGCAGGCGGCGAACGAACCGACACACAGACCAACCAATGGCAACCATACACATATGCGAGTAGCCTGGCCTATTTAAACATGGAAGAAAAACGCAAACGGAAACAAGATATCCGTTAATTTCGGCAAATGACCAAGTCAGTAAAGACGAGGAGCAAGCATGGCACTCTTGTCTCTACCCCTACGAGCACGGAGAAAGCCACAATCCGTGTGCCACTCACCTTGCCGCCTGGCGCCGCAGTCCCTTCTTCACCAGCTTGTGGTTGTAGATCTCATTCCAGTCCTTCATCCGCTCGGCAGCCGACCGGTACATGATCTTCTCACGGTCATACTGCAAGAAGCCCCTGGGGGTGGAGAGTGAGGAGGGTTAAGTGTTGTGTGTGTGCGACGTGCGTGCGGGGTTGGATTGGATAAGTTAGCAGCTTGTTGGCGAGGTTTAGAAGAGAAGAACACAGTCTGACCGCACAAACAAAAGAAAGGCCACGCACACAGCGCACGAACCAAGGCACCTTTATGATCAATTCAAATCCGTCTGCAAATATTTTAACCAAAAGATAAGCCTACGCATGACTCTTCAATTTTCATGCATGATTGACCTCCACCAAATACAGCGCAATCAATGCCTCTCAAAGGAAGCTTCGGTATTGCATCGTAATTCAGCGGTACAACAACTCCATAATCCATTCTGCTTTAGCATACGAACCACTTTTGCTAGAAACCAGCGAAATAACATAGAAATCAGACTACAGCTACCTCCGCCGAAAGGACTGACCTCATCTTGTCCAGCTTGACAAGCACCTTCTTCTCCTTCTCGGGGTCGGTGATGGAGTCCTCGATGTCCAGCACGTCCGGCTCCTCGTCAGACTCCTCCTTGGCCTCCTTCTTCTTCTCCAGCTGCTTCTTCTTGAACTCGGCCTCGGCCAGCTGGCGCAGCGCTCTCCGGTACTCGTACGGGAACACCTGGAACAATGTTACACGGTCACAGACACAGGACAGTCAGCTGACGCAGCGCCCGACGGTACTCGTACGGGAACACCTGTAACAATGGTACACGGTCACACACGGACACACATGGCCAGAAGGATAGTCAGCTGGCGCAGCGCTCTCCGGTACTCGTAAGGGAACACCTGGAACAATGTTACCCGGTCACATACACAGAAGAACAGTCAGCTGACGCAGTGTCCGACGGTACTTGTACGGGAACACCTGGAACAATGTTACACGGTCACACACGGCCACACATGGTCAGAAGGATAGTCAGCTGGCGCAGCGCTCTCCGGTACTCGTAAGGGAACACCTGGAACAATGTTACACGGTCACACACGGTGGGACAACAGGTCATAGACGGTCAAAAGGAGAGTCAGCTGGCGCAGCGCCCGACAACACTCGTACGGGAACATCTGGATGGATGATCACGACACAGAAACAGGCTGCATGATCATGACACCAGAAACAGGTCATACACGGTCACATACGGTCACATAGGTCAAAGACAGGTCGCACACGGTCAGAAGGGCAGGTGCTGCTTACACGTTTAGGAGATGGTCAGCCATCATACGCGGTCACACACGGACACATGCCAAACAGTGACGCACAGTCATACGCGTTACAAGCTCACATAAAAATAAGTCACTGAACGGTTGGCAGCACACGGTAACAAACGCACGCTACGTCTGTAACCGACCTTGGTGAACTTTTTGACGCTCTCTGGCCAGTTGTCGAGGATGCGCAGGGCCACCAGGGAGCCGGTCTTCTCGGAGAACTCCCGGAGCAGCGCCTCGACGAACAGGATGTCCTCCTCCTTCTCCATGGGGAGCAGGTCCACCATCTCCATGTTGCATTTCCTGTCGAAGTCCCAGGCGAGACAGGGTGAGTCGGGGGTTGGTAGCCGCTTCTAACGCTCTGGGACGTAGATTTCTTAGCAAAGAGCGACCAATTTATGTAAATGCAATAAAAGCGGTAGGCATGCCTCATATATGACTGAAGAGCGTTCGAGCATTTTGATTGATGGACTACGATTAGGCGGATGCCGTTATATGCTGATACCCACTGCTAACATATTAATGCGGAATTACACCGGAACGGCTCTCAACGGTCTACCCAACAATTCAGCGCGTATTACAGACTGTGAAACTCCACTGCATTGAACTTTTTATACGTTTTATCTTTCAAAAGCCTCATAATTTGACAGCAAAATTTCCAATTAGAGCACAGCCCAAGTCACTCTCAACAAACAAATGACGACTATCTCCTGTACCACATGTTTGGCTCACTCACTTCTGGAAGTCCTCGGCCACCTCGCTGTACACGTAGGCGATGCCTCCCGACATGCCGGCGGCAAAGTTGCGTCCGGTGGGTCCGAGGATCAGTACCCGTCCGCCGGTCATGTACTCACAGCAGTGGTCACCCACGCCCTGTATAGGAAACATCAGAGTGACCGATCGGTCAGGGAATGGGCTTCTCGGAGAACCCGGGTGGCTGGTGTGATATCTTGTTGATAGGAAATTGTATTATGCTGATGTTACAAGACAATTTGAACTTTGCACGGAAGAACGATAAGATGCATCACGCTTCAAACACAAAAATAATGTAAAATGTTACACCTAATTATGTGGGGCTAATTAGAGTGTCGGGTAACATAGTGCCGGCTAAATAAGACTTCTTGACCAGAAGTTGCAAAGTTACGCCGAGAAATACCGTAATTAGCCTTCAGTCTAATGAAAAGTGGTAACAAATGACATCCTCTTATAACCATTTCAGGCAAACTTGCAGACAAAGTCTCGAGCGAGCAATATTCTCCAAATTACGTTAACAATTCTAACTCCGCAAGACCAGCCTTGACCTAGGCAGGAACACTACAATAGCCCCATACTATGACCAATGACCACTATTATCGTACCTACCCACCTACCCTTCCCGCTGTCCATTCCCCTTGCCAGCTGTGCCCCACACCTTCCCGTCCCGGCACCCTTCTCTCCCTCCTGACCTCGATGACAGCGGTGGCGCCCGAGTTTCGCACGCAGAACCTCTCGGCCGCCTGTCCCCGGATCATGGCGCGGCCGGAGGTGGCGCCGTACAGGCACACGTTGCCGACGATGATGTTGTCCTCGGAGTGGAACTCCTCCGGCATGTCCTTGGGCGGGTAGATGGTGAGCTCGCCGCCAGACAAGCCCTGTGGGGAAAGGTCACAAGGTCAGACGTCCGCTCATACGCCGCCAGACATACCCTGCGGGCGGACAGAGGGTCAGGTCAGGCGTCCGCTCATACCGGTTAGTCCTAATGTGCCGAAAAGGTTGAGTCCTTTTATTACGGAGCGAGCGAAGCGAGCGTAGTCTTTCCTTAGATTAACGGAAATTTCTGAGTATGAGCGGCCGGCCGGCCGGCCGGCCGTGGTCACGATTCTGTGACGCTTATATCTCAGCAACCACTTGACAGATTTACACGCGGTAATTTTTGTAGGGTAGCTTCATTCCTTCTACCAAGTATTGGCCTATTCCCGATGCATGTGGGTGACCCCTTATGCACGTGCCACGTGCAAAACGAAGAGGTGTCACTTTTGTAATTGTTGCAATATCTCGGTAACTACTTGGCCGATTGCGCTGAAAGTTGGCATGTAGGTAGGCACCCACTAGGCAATGCATATCTATGTGCCAGAGTTGGGGTGCTGCTGCACGTGCGCACGTGCAGGGGTCGATTCCAGATCTCCAGAACGGCTGGACCGATGGCGCTCAAATTTGGCACATGGTTAGGGACCGGTTAGTAGGGTGCCGTGCAAAAGTCAGTTGGGACCCATTTTCCACGTGCGCACGTGCAGGGTGCCGCTTCCAGATCTCGAGAACGACTGGGCCGATTCTGCTCAAATTTGGCACATCGCTAGAGACCGGTTAGTGCGGTGCCGTGCACAAGTCAGCTGGAGGTACCCTCTCGAAATTTCGCACGTGCAAGGCTCACCCTCTCGCTCGCTCCGTTAGTCGCCCCAAAAGGCGTTATACCTACTGGTGTAAATATGTTGAGAATGATGTCGGAATATCTAGAGGCCATGAAAACGTTAGCATTAGGACTTCTGTAGTCCGACTTCATTGCCGAATCAAGTCACGTCCCCACTATTTCACGGCTCCTCTCCCGTGATTGGATGTGACCTTATCCAAGCACTAACACGAACTTAATAAAATCAAGCAATGTGGAAAGAAGCGCACACTGAATCTGATGGAAATGAGAAGCAGCAGTCTTATTATCAATCAGCGTCGAAATGAAGATCTTTCGCCCTTACCGAAATAGCAAAGTAGCCGCAGAGCCTGGGACTGTCCGACCATTACTCTCGTTGTGAAGTCTGAGTGTCAGTGCTCACTTTTAATTGTCTGTCCAAGTCCGACAAGGTGTAACCCCATAAGAGTGCCGATCCCTTTACGCACCTTGCCGACATAGTCGTTGGCGTCTCCCTCGAGAGTGATGTGCACGCCCTTGGAGAGGAAGGCGGCGAAACTCTGGCCGGCCGAGCCCTTCAGGTCCAGCTGGATACTGTTGTCCGGAAGGCCGGCGTCCAGGTGCTTCCTGAGAGACGGAGAGGTGCGACGGTTAGCGTGCGAGAAATTACAGATAACAACAGGGTGTCTTCCTGACCGGACAGCGGGTGGAAGAGCGACAGTCGGGGGATCGGGTACGGGAAAAGATCAGAGACAGCGAAATGTACTCTCGAGTCTCGACTGGGACACTCACACGGGGACTGCAGTGTTGGATTGCGATATCACTGTGAGTATAACTGGGCGACGACATCAAGGACATACCACTGCTAAACCCAATTACCATGCATCGCTAAACAAGCAAACAGGCTTTCCAAGTTTATGAGTAAGATTCGTATTAAATCTTATATCACGTTCCAGCTTGTGACGTTTAATTAGAACCGTGTATCTCTTCCCCCCCCCCCCTCCACGGCCTCCAGTGTCAGTGCAGGTGCGCTGGACTCACTTGGCGATGTGGTAGCTGAGGGTGGCGCCGAACGTCCGGCAGTTGTTCATGATGTCCGCCTGGATGTGCACACGGTCCGTCTTGCCCTCGATCACGTCCATGCACTGAGCGATGACGCCCTCCTCCATCCGGGTCGACAGCTCGAAGTCCTGCCGGGTGGTGACGACGTCAGCACAGAGTAACAAGAGAATGGGTGACGACATAACGACAGCCAACGGTAGAAAACACCAACAAAGCGATTACAGAATTTAAAGACGAGTCGATAAAATGACGCGTCAAAATGTAAGACTGCCTGTCCCAGCCAGGTACACATTTGTAGCACAGTGCCCAGAGAGCCCCCCACGCCCCAAGGATAGCAAACATCCTAAGGAGTGAGCCGTCCTCAGAAAACAACCCAAAGAGTGAGTCTTCGAGACCACCATACCTGAGCGACGCTGCCGCCGAGGATGTTGGTGTTGGGCCGCAGGTCCTGGGCGTGCAGAAGGATACGCGCAAAGTTGAGCAGCTTCGTCTTTGGCGGCAGGTCGTCCCGCAGCTTCAGGTACTGGGTTTGACCGATCAGGTCGTTGAACTTGCGAACGCCAAGCTTGGCCATATAGCCACGGACCTGGAGAACAAGGGGAGTAATTACATTGTGGAATAGACGGCAATCAAAGTTAAAAGATCAACAGTACCGTTAAACATGGCGTGTTACCGTTCATTTCACAGTTCGAGGCATTCACAACCTGAAAGATGTTTTGAGACACACGGTTACGGTTAACCTTAGCACAAGGCCAGAACAAGGCTGAATACACTCATCGCCTCTAGCATCAGCATTACATAGCTCTCTCCCTCCTTCCTCCCCGAATAACTGGAGCCGCCAGCAGCCATCCTACTGACCTCCTCGGCCAGCAGGAAGAGGTAGTTGATGACGTGCTCCGGCTGTCCCTCGAACTTCTTCCGCAGCTCGGGGTCCTGGGTGGCGATGCCCACCGGACACGTGTTCAGGTGACACTTGCGCATCATGATGCAGCCCAGCGCGATCAGCGGCGCCGTGCTGAAGCCAAACTCGTCGGCACCCAGGATGGCGCCCACCAGCACGTCAAATCCTGGTAAGAACGGCAGCAGTGTTAGGTCATGGATGAGACCGCACTGGTGTGCAGTGAGCACCACGTCAAGCACCGACAGGATTTATCAGCACATTGTAGGTGATGTAAAGGGCTTCCGGCTTCTAGACATCTCGTACAATGTGGTTTTTGTCTGGCCAGTGTTTTCGCTAAAATAGTGTTTGTAGAAACGGGGAAATGGTGAGGGTGAAGGTTCGATGCATATAAGGTATACACCGACACGGGGATGAGGAATAAACTTCTACAATCTGGAGGTTGATAGATATTTGGAACTTGATTTAACTGGACCATTGATTGGCTGTACAATTTCTTACGCTCACGAGGTTACAAACCATAGGCATGAGTCTGTTACATGCAGCGTAATATTGCCACGCCTGAGACATCATACACGAAACGACGACTGGCAATCCTTTGTGAATCATCCACACCCCATTATTTTCAATTTTCATCGATACTCCACTTTTAACAAACATGTCCCGAGAAGACTAATGAACGCCGGTTGACGTCCATTGTGGTAACAAACCGCGGCCGTTCCCCGACCCGGCCGCCGTTCGGCCACGAATGTTTCCGCAGCTGTCAAACTCTCATCCGATAGCGGCTCCGAGCCGTCGGGACGGCAAATAAACCCCTGAGAGCCACTCTCCGACTGGCCGCCTTCCAAAGCCACGCCACTGCCGCCAGGCCTGACGCCGGGCAGATGGGCCGAGATAGGGTCGTTACCGACTGGGCCCTCGGTCAGTGTCAGTGTCGGCGCGACCGGGGACGGAGTAAAGCTTGGTGGTCCGACCGGACCGATTCAGCGGCGATACGCCACTCGCCGGCACAGACCTCAGCTCGACCATGGCAGCGGTGGTGCTGCTGCTCGCCGTAGCAGTGTTGGTTTCACCGACCGCTGCGGAGTCGGTGCCCTGCGAACCGGTCAAGTTCGGCCATGACAGCGTCGTGTGCGCCTGTAACGCGACCTACTGCGACACGGTACCTGAAGTACCGGCGCCCGCTGCCGGTGAAGCCGTAGTCATCACGTCTACCCGAGCCGGCGCGCGGTTCCAGCTCAGTTCTGCCTCCTGGAGCACCGAGCCGCGCGACGCCAACCGACTGGCGCAGCTGCGGATCGCTCTGGAGGGCGCCGAACGCCGTCAGGAGGTGTTTGGATTCGGCGGCGCCTTCACCGACGCCGCCGGCATCAACATCGTCAAGCTGCCCGAGGCTGCGCAGGAGCAGCTCATCAACTCCTACTATGGACCGGACGGCATCGGATACTCGGTGGCGCGCGTCCCGATGGGTGGCTGCGACTTCTCCACCCATCCCTACACGTACGCCGATGTGGCTGGAGACACAGTGCTGGCCAACTTTTCGCTGACTCACGAGGACACAGAGTACAAGCTGCCGTACCTACGCCGCGCGCTGGCCGTGTCTGACACTGAGGTACGAGTGTTCGCCTCTCCGTGGTCGGCACCCGCCTGGATGAAAAGCAACGGTGCGCTGAACGGCATGGGCCACCTGCTGCCGGAGTACTATCAGACCTGGGCTAACTACTTCGTCCGATTCCTGGAGGAGTATGACAAGGAGGGTATCTCTATGTGGGGCGTCACGGCACAGAACGAGCCTATTGACGGCGATATCCCCGAGTTCGCCTTCAACTGCATGGGCTGGACGGCTGAGTCGCAGACAGAGTGGATTAAAACCAACCTGGGTCCGACGCTGCGGGCGTCACGATTCAACGCCACCAAGGTGATGATCCTGGACGACCAGCGATTCCTGCTGCCCGCCTGGGCCGACGTCGTGCTTGCGGATCCCGAGGCGGCTGCTTACGTGGACGGCGTGGCCGTGCATTGGTACGGAGACCCATTCTTCCCTGCTGACGCACTCACGGCCACGCACAACCACCACCCGGACAAGTTTCTGCTCAACACTGAGGCTTGCGAGGGCTCCTACCCGTGGGAGATCCAGAAGGTAGCGCTGGGCAGCTGGCATCGCGCCGAAAACTACGCTGCCGACATCATCCGCGACCTGAACCACTGGGTGACCGGATGGATCGACTGGAACATCGCGCTCGACATGAACGGCGGACCCAACTGGGTGAGTAACTTCGTCGACTCTCCGATCATCGTAGACGACGAGCTGCAGCGTTTCTACAAGCAGCCCATGTTCTATGCGATGGGCCACTTCGCCAGGTTTGTGCCGCCGGGTTCCACGGTGTTGGACGCCGGCGTGGAGCAGGGAGACCTACTCAGCGTGGTGGCCGAGACTCCCGACGGCGGAACCGTGGCCACGCTGCTCAACACGGGCGATATTGAGCTGGAGGTGAGCCTCACTGACCCGGAGCGGGGCCATCTAGACCTGACGCTGCCCGCTCGCAGCCTCACCACTGCTAAATGGATGTAGCTAAGGCCAGGATAACAGGTACCAACTAACGACGGAATAGTGCTATCAGAAATTGGTCGACGGCAATGAGGCCTGTCCCGCTGTTAACAAATGTAAGTTAAGCGCAATTAGCTGTAACGTGTGCTAATAAATTTCCTGTCCGTGATAAAACCAAAACTTTTAAAAGTACTACGCATTACACCGAAACGATAAAATCCGACACAACCCAAGCAACTAAAAGACTATACAGTATACAGCAACTACCTGAGGTTTCGCCATTACCTGACATGATTATCGCCTTTACAAATCGCACCCTCCCATCTCTCTAAAGTCCCCCACTACTCTCACCTGTGCGGATCTGCCCGTCGACCTGGAGCACCACGCGCGAGCGCAGGTTGTTGAGCGTCAGAGTCTGGTGCGTCTCCGACAGGCCCAGTTCCCAGGGCAGTCCGGCGAACTTGATGCCCGTCCAGCTGCTGGCGCCGGTGCCGCCGTCGTGGCCCGATATGGTGATGTGCTCGGCCTTGCCCTGTAGACAGAGGCAGAAAGGGAGGGGTCACGACGGGGCGTTAGTCAGCGGGACGGGGGACAGGGATAGTAAGGGAATAATTAACCTACGCAGGCAGCGGTCAGTGTTCGTCGAAATGTACCACTGTTTGTCTTAAAAGGCACTTTTGAATGTTGCAAAATACACCAATAATGGTGAACCACCTTAATCAGCACTTCCTTAACTTGGGTGGCCAAACTCTAGTTTCCTCTGATGACAATTAACTGCATCTGTTTGATCTCTCTTGCTTCCTATAATCACCATTGCCAGATCACCCTTTCAAGGTCCCAATACGCTAAACCACTGTACAAGCCACTAGCAACCGTACTCACCTTGGCCACGCCGCTGGCCACCACGCCGACTCCCACTTCGGAGACGAGCTTCACGCTGATGCGGGCCGCTGGATTGGCCGACTTCAGGTCGTAGATGAGCTCTGCCAGGTCCTCGATGGAGTAAATGTCGTGGTGCGGCGGCGGGGAGATGAGACCCACGCCGGGCACCGAGTGACGCGTCTTCGCAATGTCCTCAGACACCTATCGACGGGGGAAGAAGTTATGGACGCAGCTATGGATATGTGGGTTAGGCAGCTGCACCACACAAGTATTCAAGCCAACGTGACAAATATGGCAAGATAAATACACGAAGCTCACCCATTACACTGGATGGTGACACAAAGTCGTCTATGCTTTGTTGCCCCCAAGTCAAAAACAAAGGTAACCAACTCATGTGGAAAAATAGCAGAAATGCTGCCTGATTGACGCAAACGACCATGCAACCCGACTCAATCAGCGCCCTGCACGTATGTAGTCTCTGGTTCATCTCCAATCCCCACCAAGTCTCACCTTGTGTCCGGGCAGCTCGCCACCCTCTCCGGGCTTGGCTCCCTGCGCCATCTTGATCTGGATCTCGTCGGCATTGGCCAGATAGGTGGCGGTCACTCCGAACCGGCCAGAGGCCACCTGGCAAAAACACGGGGATAGTGGTGAGTGGTGGTGGAAATAAACATAAACCTGACGGTGCGCATATAGATCCGGAACACAGAGGCTCCGTAATTGGCAACAAAAATCCGCTTTCAGGAAGTGCCACACAGTTCGACGACTGACGAAACATATGTAAGGAAAAAGAGAATTCAATTCGCAAGTTATCGACAAGCATGAAGAAGGAGAGCTAGCGGCATTGTTTCGTACTCACTACGCTAGGTTGGCGGCCCCAGCCCAATTTAATCGCAGCGCTTTCCTTGAACATCGAGGACCAAAATTATCTAACAATTAGCCAGCCCAACCCAAGTAACGTGTCCCATTCGGGGACTATACCTCCTACCTCTCTCTGTTTTCCTCCCAGCCGGCAGCACAAACCTGTTTGATGGCCGATCGTTTGATGTTCTTGGGGTCCTCGATCACAAACCGTTCAGAGTTCTCGCCGCCTTCACCGGTGTTGGACTTGCCGCCGACCCGGTTCATGGCGATGGCCAGAGTCGTGTGCGTCTCGTACGAGATGCTGCCGAAACTCATGGCGCCTGGAGAAGGGTGGGAGGAGTCAACAGCGGACGGTGTAAACGGAATGTGGGGTGGCGCCAAGTGCGGAAAGCGAAAAACACAATGCGTCACAACTAGAGATGTCATTCGGTTTCGGATACCGACTTTTTGGTATACCGATACCAAACCGATACCAACTTGGTATTTGGTATTTCCAACCTTATGTTTTTGGTATTTTGTTGGTATTATGAATCCTCAATAATGTATAAGAGGCTGCGAATTTGGTAAAAAGTTTGTATATTCCTGGTATTCCAAAGTTGGTTTGGTTCCGGTATATTCCCATGGTTTTTGGTTGGTATTTGGTTTGGTATCGGTATCCTGATTTTCTGTAATTGACATCACTAGTCACAACTGTGCACTCGGTGGTGCATTGCAGTGATGTAACAATCCATGTAACAGAATGCGTAATGACAGTTCCAACCAACAGTCAACTGGAGCCTGAGGTCATAATATCGTAGCATAAACAGTCCTTCACCTTTCTTCCTCATTTTCCACTTTCTTCACTAATCAGTAGGTAAACTACATCAACATTTACCAAACCATCTCTCTCGTGTCCACTTTTCCAATGTCCTTTAAGTAACTCCATCCAAAGCCCCTCTTCCCTCTCCCAGCCATTAGTGACCGACCACTGACCAGTGCAGAAGCGTTTGACGATCTCGCTGGCCGGCTCGACCTCGCTGATGTCCACCGGTGTCTGCGACTCGACCATGGTCAGCTGTCCGCGCAGGGTGCACTCGCGGATCGTGGTCATGCTCGACGCCACGAACCGCTCGTAGGCGTTCTTGCTGTTGGTGCGCGCTGCCGCCTGTCGGACGATGAGAGGAGCGCAGGCTGTTAGATACGCCACTAGAACGGTAATCCTGACTACAACCGCTCACCAAGCGATAACTTTCAAATCTATCACTGGAACGATGAGAACGGTGCAACGAGACATCCCTAGAACTATTTGAGCAGACAGCACCAAATGACGAACTGTTGAAGATCCGAAGCTACCGTCCTCAGTCGCGGCTACTTCCCCTGGCATCGTCTCTAACACCTGTTCCCCAGCTGTCTATCGCCTTGCCCACCGTCCAACGTCCAGCTCACACCCTCCACATCAAACCACCCACGGTCCACGGTCCACGGTCCATGGTCCACGGTCCACGGTCCACCTACCACCTCCCACCATCCACTTCCCGTCATCCCCTTCCCCTCCACCCACCCTTCCACCGACGTTCTATATACTCTGCTTCCACCTAACACCCCTCCCCTCCACAACGTCCACCATCCCCTCCCCCCCCCCACCGACCTGCAGACTGGCGATGTTATCCGGGTCGTTGATGTGTTTCTCGCCGCCCTTGCGCCAGTGGTAGTAGCCCGGGTTGGGCAGCACGTAGGTGTCACACTCTCGGAGATTGTAGGACAGACGGTGGCGGCATAGAGCCTCGTCAGCCAGCATCTTGAACGTGACGCCGTCCAGTCGCGACGCCGTGCCCTGGGGAAGGGAGAAACACAGTGGTACGAATGAATGTATCGGGGAACAGTATCCTCCAGTCATATCCTCCAGTCGCGACGATACACACCGTTGGTGAGACTCGGTTGCAGTTTTGGATGCTGTGTGATTCACTCTTTTCGCTACTGGGCAAAGAACACATGACATGAAATGGTGGAAGGATTTTCGAATAAGCGGGGCTACAATCATGGAGGATATCTCTGAAGTAGCCTAGCCTGCTTGAAAATTAACAAATAAACAAAATATCAGACACGTCGTGTTAGGACTTTTACGAATCAGCAGACAAAGAATGAGAACAGGGCACCAACAGCAGTACCGAGACCGACTTCTTCTAGCACCTACCTTGAAGCACTTGTCGATGACCTCGTGGTTGAGTCCGACGGCCTCGAAGATCTGCGCGCCCTTGTAGGACTGCAGCGTGGAGATGCCCATCTTGGCCATCACCTTGGCTATGCCACGGGACATGGCCGCCACGTAGTTCTGGAAGATAAGCCGTCACGGTATCACACACATGTCTGTGGACTGTCGAGTGCGTCCGGGGTTATTAATAAATGGTGACCTTTGCTGATCACCTCCGCAACGCTGGCTGCCGCTGACTTCCACGATGAAAGTACGATATTAACGTAATATCGTCCACTCGTAACAAAGTTCGATAAATTAATTTAAACTGTTACAAGAATAACGATCGTCATTTTACGTAAGGTTCGCTCCAAGGCTTTATTACATCAACTACTCACAAAACGAGTTTGAGTTGCGTTCAAAGTAAGTGTTAATCTGCAGATTACCAGGGCACATCAAAAGAACAGAATGACCTGGGCCTAGCGCTTTAAGGCGACAGTGCAGCTTACATTAACTATTTCTGGCGCGTTGGGCAGAGACAAGTCCCCAGAAACTCAGTAATATGCCGGTCGGACAAATGGGCCGGTAGCCATGAAGAGCTGAGGCCTCTTGCACCAAATTACTTACCTAGGTAAATTCCGATTTTACCTAAATTCTCTTGCACCAAACTATCCACCAAAAAACGCTACCGTGAAAATCTACCTAGAAATTCTACCGAGCGGCATCGGAACTTACCAGTTGTTAAACTCCGACCGGCTGTTTTCCTCTTGCACCGAAAGCCGGAAAGAAGTACTCGCGGATAAATTTTTGACGGTTTGACGGTAAACGCGGGCTTCCAAAATAACTAGCAAAACCTTAGGTAAAATGATTCAATTAGAAACAATAGGCACAATACACGATAATCCACGGGTACTTTTATGTAAATTAGGCATTACAAAATGTTTAGACAATGATAAATCAATGTTTTATGAGTGAATAATAATATAATTGACCAAATGCTCCATGGGTTCACAGAGGTGCTTCTCCGTACCAAGGCGATAAACCTCCGTAGCAGAACAGCCAGGTTGAAGACTCACTCGTTGTCATGGAAACGAAGCTTATTTGCTCAAGTAATTTAATATCAAAATAACTTCTATCGGTATTTACGTAAATGAAAAATGATTTCATAATACCAAAATGTATATTAATAAAAACAATATCCATTTAATTGTTTTCTTTAGTTACTATTTGTTTGCGCCCACAAATAATTCGTCGCCGAACAGCCAATCAAAACAAATCCTAAAAACGCGAGCTGTCAACTTTACCTAGGTAGGTAGGTAGGATGGTGCAAGAGAAGTTACCGCCGTAGGTAGTTTTACTAGGTAGGTATTTTGCCGATTCTACCTAGCTAGGTATTTTGGTGCAAGAGGCCTCTGCCCACATATCACAATTTCCCTGTCAGGCTGTTCACAATGTCCTGAGGCCTCTTGCACCAAAATACCTAGCTAGGTAGAATCGGCAAAATACCTACCTAGTAAAACTACCTACGGCGGTAGCTTCTCTTGCACCATCCTACCTACCTACCTAGGTAAATTTGACAGCTCGGGTTTTTAGGATTTGTTTTGATTGGCTGTTTGGCGACGAATTATTTGTGGGCGCAAACAAATAGTAACTTAAGAAAACAATTAAATGGATATTGTTTTTATTAATATACATTTTGGTATTATGAAATCATTTTTTATTTACGTAAATACCGATAGAAGTTATTTTGATATTAAATTACTTGAACAAATAAGCTTAGTTTCCATGGCAACGAGTGAGTCTTCAACCTGGCTGTTCTGCTACGGAGGTTTATCGCCTTGGTACGGAGAAGCACCTCTGTGAACCCATGGAGCATTTAGTCAATTATATTATTATTCACTCATAAAAATATTGATTTCTCATTGTCTAAACATTTTGTAATGCCTAATTTACATAAAAGTACCCGTGGATTAATATGTATTGTGCCTATTGTTACTAATTGAATCATTTTACCTAAGGTTTTGCTAGTTATTTTGGAAGCCCGCGTTTACCGTCAAATCGTCAAAAATTCCTCCGCGAGTACTTCTTTCCGGCTTTCGGTGCAAGAGGAAAACAGCCGGTCGGATTTTAACAATTGGTAAGTTCTTTGCCACTCGGTAGAATTTCTAGGTAAATTTTCACGGTAGCGTTTTTTGGTAGGTAGTTTGGTGCAAGAGAATCTAGGTAAAAGCTGAAATTACCTAGGTAGGTAGTTTGGTGCAAGAGGCCTCATTTATAGTCCTGACTTGTCACGAGAACCAGGAGCCATGCCTTCATATATCCGGGCATTAGACCTGGCGTCGACACAAACTACCAATCCGCTAAAAATACCCGGTCTGCTGTGCGAACGTAAAGGTCCTCTCGAGCACCATATACCCACACTTTACCTAGATTTCGATAGTCTTGGTCAGCCCCGCCCCTCCCCTTACCCACCTCCAAGACAGGTGTGTTCGTCACTTACCGTGAAGATGACCTTGTCGGTGAAGGTCTCATCCAGGACCTTCTCCTCACGGAGGGCGGCCATGATCTCGAACACCATGTAGGGACAGATGGCGTCGGCACCGAACCCGAGCAGCACACACATCTGGTGCACCTCCCTGCACGAGCACATACACGCACAAACGAAACGGGAGCGGCGGTCAGGCAGAGTGGGGCGGCATTCGGTGGTCGCTAACAGGGTTTGTGCAGCTAACGAACGGGTGTCTCGAATAAATTAGTGTTGTACACGTATTTAGCATCATGACACGTCAACTATCTGTTACGGCAAAATATTATAGTGATTGAAGAAGATGCCCGAGCTCCTACCATTGATATAACCATACATCTCTAAAACTTCAGTCATTGACATCTTATCCCGTGAAACAATTTCGTAAATAAATTTCATGCCTTAAAGAGATTATGCCTAAGTTCGTAAAGTACATAAATAGCTTCGCTTTATAGGACGGTCATTCAACGAAAATTGGTTTTCTCAGAACGACCTGAGCTGAAATTATGAGGCGGTGCAAACTCGTCCATCGATCTTCTTCCCCCAGGCCAATATAGCCCGAAGAAGATCAACCGCTTCCTCGACCGCCACTATCTGTCCAAACGACCTCGTTCATCAGAGAGTGTGAGTATGGCAGAGTCGCCACGGTAAGCGACTTTGTCCACTGACCTAGCCTCTCCGGTCTCAACGATGAGGCCGACCTTCATCCGCTGACGCTCCTCAATCAGGTGATGGTGGGTGGCGCCGAGCACCAGCAGGGGGCTCACGGGAACCCTGAGGATGGAAAGAACGTTACGGTCAGCAGGGGGCTCGCGGGAACCCTGGGGACGAGAAGCGAAACGCGGTCAACAGGGGATGGGGTGGCGCCGAGCACCAGCAGGTGGCTCACGGGAACCCTGTGGGACGGAACGAAGCGGCACGGTCAGCACTCAGCAGAGTAGAGTACGGTCGATCATCACCAACCAGCAGAGGGCTCATGGGAGCCCTGGGAACGAGAAACGGAGCAGCACAATCAGAAGGGGAATGGTGGCATTCAATCCAAGCAAAGGGCTCACGGTAAGGGCTCGGGGAATGACATTGGCGTTCCACTCAGTAATAAATACGTTTCATCGACGCGTAACACGCAGTCCACGCACCTACATCCTTTCTAAACAGCAATAATATCTCTCTATACCAACAGTCACATCGGGCAACATCAACAGTACCGTTATCCATTTGGAATGGCCTCCCTAACTTGCAGTGGCAATGACTCGAAGTCAACACTCCTCCCTATATGCGCCTCTTCGTCGCTCGACAGTGACATATCCCCGAAGGGTGTTCCTCGATGATCATTCCGTCCTTTGGCATTACTCTACACCCTCTACCATTGACCCTTTCCTCACCTCTCGGGTCCTGCCTTCCTGTCGGAGAGAACAATGAGCTGGTAGCCGTCCTTGGCGGCCTGGCAGGCGGCGCCGGCCACCCGGTCAATGGTCGACAGCATGCCACGGGCGCCCTTCTCCACTGGGTACGTCACGTCGATCACGCACGTCTGAAACGGGGGAACAGGAAATTATAGATGACGGCAGGTGTAGGGGACGGGATAGGCGGAGTGATGTGCCGCCTCATGTGATGTACTATGCGTCGGACAAACGTACCCCAGTGTGATATCCTCATATCACATGGAAAACGTGTGTTAGCAGATGCATCTCGTTACACGTTGGGGTACATTCAGCACTACACGTTATGAGCAAATGAAAAAGAAGTTTTGTCCCACGATACAATCTTTTATGGCATTAACAAGACCTACGTGTCTCATACGGGTCTCGTGACTGTCAATGCATCTAATGATATCAATGTTAACTTCTATGCAATCATTCAGGAAGTCATACATGTCTAATGTGTCACATTAGTTCTTGTAACAGTAACACAATCGCTGCAAATCACCACAGGCTATTAATTATTCTGTCGGACGGAGGCATGCGTCTGGGCGACACTCGTACATGTCACAATTTGTCGGTGGTATTGTAAAGGTCACACCGACTCCACTGTGCGGTGATTGAGTATGACATCATTAGTGGTCCGCACACGACCAGAGGGATCATTAGACAACGTCAAATACGGCCACTTATGTCGTCCGAGTAACATCTCTGCTGACCAGCGCCGCGGAGCTCGAGTGATTTATGGACCGGCCGGCCGGGAGCAGTTGAGGTCAACGGTCTCCTTTGTACGACCATTGTGAACCACGTATTTCATAAAATTCAAACAAACGACCCCAATAAAATTAACGGTAACAAAACAAACTTTACAAGATTTCCAGCCGTGTATCGATAAAATTGTCCGCATACTCCTTACCAATGTAAAGCGAGGGACTGACTTGAGTAAGGTAGCTGAATGTATAATCGATCTCAATGTTTGAAATTACCACAAAATTTAAATATAGAAACATTATATCAGCTCGTGTTCATGCACAGTTCGCCGCCGGCACTGACCCGCCAGTTTTTGTACTTGCAGTCCACGATGACCTGCAGGTCATTGACAGAGAGGATCGGTTGCTCCAGGTACAGTCGGTTACACTGGAGCTCGCTCGACTCCAGAATGTTGGCCTCCGGACCTGGCGGGGCGGCGAAAGGTCAGGTCAAGTCAGGTCAGGTCACACAGGTCAGGGCAAACTGAATAGCCTGGGGACGTTAGGCAAAGTTAGTTAACTACTAATGATTTCAATAATTTCACGGAATGGTCAGGGTTAACTTGCAAAGTATGCATATAAGTTGTAACAAAATTCCTGTCCATACAGCAAGGTAAAGTGTTGGCAAAACTGCAGTCCATTGGTTCAATTTGTTCATCGTCACTGCTATGGCGCCCAAGAGTCCGCTAACCGAACAAAAGCAAAGGAACGTCGATAATGATATTGCCAGCTACTCGCTCGCATTGTTCTCCCGTTGCGACGATAACAGGTCGTCAGCGCGGCAGTTGGGAACACTCATCCACTCAATTACCGGTCTCGCTCCTCTCCATTATCCCCCCCCCCCAACCCCTCCCGACACGCCACGCTCCTACAATTGATCCGCACCCCGCCCCACCCCCAGCACTGCCCTCAGAACGTACCGATCGGGCAGGCCAGTGACATGACAATCTTCTCGCGGAACGGGTCGATCGGAGGGTTGGTGACCTGGGCAAACAGCTGCTTGAAGTAGCTGTAGATGAGCGGCATGTACTGGGACAGACAGGCCAGCGGCGCGTCGTTGCCCATCGAGCCCAGAGCCTCCTTCCTGTAGGCGACAATGGGATTGTGTCAGTGACATAAACCGGACGCTGCTGAACTGTCCGTACGTGACATAAGTAACCTAAAACGCGTTCAAAATAAGTAAGAATATAGGTACTTTGGTAAATGAAAAATAAACAAACCATAAGGAACGCGGAATTATATGTATGTCTTGCGCGAAAACATGCGAGTCTCAGGACCATTGTACGCAGGAAACGAGTCAATTTCCAAGTGGAAGCGACACGGTGCATGCGAAGAAAGTGTCACGCGATGGGAAATAGCTATAGAGTGGTTACATTTACTGCGACTAGTTACGAAGGCTGTTTGGATACCCATCAGAGGCAGAGCATAAACATGATTAAGAACGCAATGTTACATTCAATTAACCATCACCATTAATTTTCCGCCACGTTGAATCCCGGAGCCCACAAACAGATCCATCACCAAGCCCGCTCTCTCCGACACAACAATGAATAATCAGCACCATCCTACCACCCTACCCAGACAACATGTCCCCAAACACGGGTCATAGTGTCCAGCCCTGTCTCATCTGACCATCCGTCTTCCTCGACCCCTCTCTCTCTCCCTCCTCCCTCTTCCCTCCAGCGCTACTCACTTGGTGGTGACCATGGGCAGCAGCAGCAGGGTGATGGTCTCCACGGTGAAGCCAAACATGGCCAGTCGGCGGTCACCACCGAACATGCGCCTCATCTCGGCGTGCGTCATGGTCGCCAGTGCAGACTGGCTGCTCGAGACACGCTTCAGGTCCAGCTTGGGAGGCTTCAGGGACACGGCGGATGGCTCCTTGTGCGCGCCGTGCAGGTCGTTCAGAGTCACCTGCACGTGAGGTGGGGGAGAACGCGAGTGATACGGGTTCCCCGGTACAGATAGGGGTGAAGGGAGGTGTGGGTTTAAAGTAAGACGTAAGACGGTGTCACCCGTTTGAAGTGGCGACCTTGAAGGATTAAGTTTTGAATGAGGGATTAAGTCAAACCAAGTTTCTTGCTAAGATCCGAGAAGATTGGGCTATAAGCAAAGGAGTCAGGAAGTTCAGGTATGTACACCTTCAACTGGATGGACCCTAAAAGAAAGTTCAGCTCAATGTCATCCAGTCAGCACAGCACCTGAGTCACCTGTAAGGGTCAGAGGTCAGCAGAGGTCACGTTTTACGGGTTGTCGACTGCCGCGGCCCGGGAGCACCAGGTGCGGGCCGGGGGTTAAGGACAAAAGTACGTATCGCCAAAGTACGTAGGACAAAAGTACGTAAGCAAAAGTACGTAGGATTAAAGAACGTATCGCAAAAGTACGTACAGTATAAAGTACGTATGGACAAAAGTACGTCAGGGACAAAAGTACGTATCGCAGAAATACGTACAATATAAAGTACGTATGGACAAAAGTACGTCAAGGACAAAAGTACGTATCGCAGAAGTACGTACAGTATAAAGTACGTATGGACAAAAGTACGTCAGGGACAAAAGTACGTATCGCAAAAGTACGTAGGGTATAAAGTACGTATGGACAAAAGTACGTCAGGGACAAAAGTACGTATCGCAAAAGTACGTAGGGTATAAAGTACGTATGGACAAAAGTACGTCACGGACAAAAGTACGTATAGCTAATGTACGTAGGGTAAAAAGTACGTATGGACAAAAGTACGTCACGGACAAAAGTACGTATCGCAGAAGTACGTAGGGTATAAAGTACGTATGGACAAAAGTACGTCACGTACAAAAGCCTACGCATAGCAAATGTACGTAGGGTATAAAGTAGGGTAGCCTTGGGCAAGACGCCACAGATAATTTATTTTGCTACATAGGTATGTACCTACTTTTGTCTCACATCACCTGGAAGGCAAAATTTGTGCTCAATGTGTTCTTTGGACATTTTACTTTAAATTCCACCCCTCAAATTCATTCACTTATGATCGGACTCCCAGCTAGGAAGTGCTTTGTGAAGCAACTGCAAATGGGGCATTTTCCCCAACCCCAGGGCAAAACACCTCACGGCCTGAGGCAAGAAGCCCCATACACTAGATCAGTGGTCGGCAGGTCATTTGGGGTCGTGCCCCCTTTTTGGGCGCCAGGCAGGGCCATTGCCCCCACCTACCAGACCCCATTGCTGACACAACTATGTTTACTGAAATTCCATACCGTCCTGGAACTCTTTGGGTATTTGTGCATTTCCAACGCATCAAATTTAAAACATGACACTTCCTCCACAAAACATTTAATGCCTATATCCCAGTAGCGGCGGAACACCTTCAATTAAGGGGGAGGGGGGAGCACTGCCGCCTTTTGGTCCCATTCTTTCCATGCAACGCCCATAGGGCTAATGTTAAAATGCAAAAATCAAAGGGTGCACGGTGCCCCGGTGCCCTCCCCGTTCCGCCGCCTATGCTATATCCCATTTAACCCTTGTACGTATAGGGGCGGCGGGTGGTTTTTCGTTAAAAGCTCTCGTAAAAGGCATTGGATCACGACCAAATTGTACCCTCGAGCCCATCATTTTTTTTTTTCACCAGCCCGGAAATATCATGACCTGAGACCAGTTTTACCAACAGAAAAATAACCGCCTGCCGGAATTTTTGCCTCAGTCAAGACCGCTTCACATACGGAGCGTAAACGCGATGGGCTCGTAAGCGGATAGGGCTTTACCGTTTACGCTCCATATGTGAAACGATCTTTAGGCAAAAATTCCGGCAGGCGGCTATTTTTCTGTTGGTAAAACTGGCCTCTGGACCCATAATGACCGTTGGCTTATGAGCTTTTTATGGAGATCATCTTGAGCCATAAAATAGAGTTGCAAAGTTTCCCCCAAAGGCTGCTACCGGCACCGCCCCGCCCCACAATTTTTTTTGGGGATACCGGCATGCTACCACGCCCAAAGCAAAAACACCACCAAATTACCGGCATACTAAAAAACGTGCATTGTTGATTCCAGTTTACCCCTACAAGAGATGCCACATTTTCCTCTTAGTGTCCAAAGTTTGAATCATATGCTAATAATTTTTTTTTTGTGCAAAACCAAAAATACCGGCATGCTACCGGCAAGACATGCCAGATACCACAAAAAACCTGCGGTAGTGAAAATTTACCGGCATGCCGGTAATGCGGTAGGGAAACTTTGCAACTCTACCATAAAATCTCACTTCAAGAAGTTATAGCGGGTCCCGATTTTCTCGACACTTATCATTGCCCTCTTGAATGAGACGGAATGACAAAGGACCTTAAAAATGGGCAGCAGCGGCTTCCTATGGTCACGGGTAGCACGCTCGTCTTTTTTTTATGCACAGCTCCATATCAGAGTCCGAGAGGCCGCGGGGGTCCGATCGACTCCTCCCCCTTACGTTAGCGGCTGTTGAAACGCCAACAGACGGGCGACGGTTAAAAGTTGCAGCTGCTTTTGAACGACTGTACGGAGGGGTGAGATGGTGAGGCGAGCAGGTACATACGTGAAAGTTGGTATCTAATCAATAGTGTGCTGTGCCTTTGGCCTGGGCTAATCTTTGAACCCTGGGATGCAACAGCCACGATGGCTCCATCCACTGGCGGATCCAGGCTTGCGTTTTGGGGGGGGGGGCCAACTCATGCAGGAGCCAAACCTAGGGTACCCCCAAATCCTGTTTTCTCATCGGATTTAGGCCACTTATTTTTCGTCACAGCCCTGACACTATGAATATTTTTTTTTTAACTAAAAGTAAAAATATATAAATGGTAGCCCATCCGACCCATGCCTTTATATTACTTTGTAAACACTTACCATTGCCTTTGTCGACCAGTTAACCCGCTTCGAGTCAGTGCTTGGGTCCCTTTGCGGGCCGGGAGGTGGTAAAACACCCCTTGTCTAACTCGGCTCCTGGGCCAGGCACTGATTGAACTATGTTTCATTATCGCTTGGGGGAGGGGGCAAACGGGCCACTTTAGACCTCTGGGAAGGGGGCATGGCCGTAAATGCCCCCTCCCTGGATCCGCCAGTATAAGAGACCATTGGAGCTGCAGTTGGGTACCTCAGACGTCAGGGTACGCCCTCAGATGTATAGGACTCGCATGGAGACCTCTTATGCTATAGTGGACTGAAAGGACCCAAAGGAGCCTGTCTAGGGCTCCCGGAGATAGACGTGGGCCCTCAGGAGCCCGCCAGAGCCCCCAATGAGGGATAAGTGAGGGGTACCAAGTGCCTGCCATTGCATATTGCATAAGCCATAACGCCATTATTAATCAATATGATATGTATCAGTGGCAGATGAGATCCAAGGGGGGCCACATGGGTCATGACCCCCCCCTTGGTGCCCGGGGGCACCACAGGCCTGTCAGGGGCACCACCGGTCTAGCAGGGGCACCACCAGCCCGCCAGGGGCACCACAGGCCTAGCAAGGGCACCACGGGCCTGTGAGGGGCACCCCAGGTCTGTCAGGGACACCAGATACCTGCCAGGGGCGCCGCCAGCCTCGCAGGGGCACCATGGGCCTGTCAGGGGCACCAGAGGCCTAGCAGGGGTACCAGTACCACAGGCCTTACAGGGGCACCTTGGGCCTGTCAGGGGCACCACAGTCCTGTCAGGGCCCAGGGGCACCAGCGGCCTAGCAGGGGCACCACAGGCCTGCCAGGGGCACCACCGGTCTAGCAGGGGCACCACCGGCCTCGCAGGGGCACCACCGGCCTCGCAGACAACACGGCATCACGCAGGGGCACCTTGGGCCTGTCGGGGGCATCACGGGTCTGTTAGGGGCACTTTAGGCTTGTTAGGGGCACCACAGTCCTGTCAGGTCCCAGGGGCATCAGCAGCCTAGCAGGGGCACCCTAGGCCCGCCAGAGGCACCACAGGCCTTCCAGGGTCCAGGGGCACCACAGACCTAGCAAGGGCACCACGGGCCTGTCAGGGGCACCTCAGGCTCCCGTGCCCCCCCCCCCCCGGATCCGCCAGTGATGCCTCACCACGCGAAACACCGCCAACTCCCAGCTACCGCGCCATAAACACGTGCCAACAACAGTCTTTTTTGAAGGTCGACTCCACTCGCGCAACTTTTGACTGACCCTCACTGCTACCATATTGCTTCCATATTATGCTGTGGAAAGCTTTACTTCACCAAGTGTGCTAAAAACCTCCATCAAGGTATATTTTCTTAGCAATTTTTCTGACGTTTTGGGGGGGGGGGGCTTAACAGGCCACTTTAGGCCTTTGGGGGGGGGCCATGGCCCCCGTGGCCCCCCCTTGGATCCGCCAGTGGCTCCATCACTGGAGCTACAAACTCTAAAAAGATAGGCTTTCTCAGAATCCCTCATTACCCCCACCGAAAGGGCTCCATTTACCGCCAAAGGGGGCATGCCCCACCATTTGCCGACCCCTGCACTAGATTAACAGAAGAGAGGATCTTTCCCCAGAACCCTGCCAGTTCCGAGAAACATCGGTGAGGCGTTTTACCTCGGCGGGGCGACTTGCCCCGGTCTACCCTACGTGTGGACAAAAGTACGTCACGGACAAAAGTACGTATAGCAAATGTACGTAGGGTATTAAGTACGTACCCCACCCTTGGGTTAAGTTGATCAATGTGTAATACCTTTCTGATTCTTTATTTAATGAGCATTTGTTACAAGGCATAGCAAAATTTATTGATGAGTAAATGGGCGAAATGGACAAAGCTATATTATTTGGTATATGAATTTATCATGAGTTCCCTGCAGTATGGCAACAGAGCAGCAATAAAGAAAAAGTGGCCCAACTTACACGACTATACCCTACTTCTAACATACGTACTTTATACACTACGTACTTTGGCATACGAACCGTACGTACTTTTGGCATACGTACTTTTTACACTACGTTCTTTTGCATACGAACTTTTGCGTACGAACATTTGCGTACGTACTTTTGGCATACGTACTTTATACACTACGTACTTTTGCATACGTACTTTTGCGTACGAACACTTGCGTACGTACTTTTGGCATACGTACTTTATACACTACGTACTTTTGCATACGAACTTTTGCGTACGAACATTTGCGTACGTACTTTTGGCATACGTACATTTTACACTACGTACTTTTGCATACGTACTTTTGCGTACGAACATTTGCGTACGTACTTTTGGCATACGTACTTTATGCACTACGTACTTTTTCATACGTACTTTTGCGTACGAACATTTGCGTACGTACTTTTGACATACGTACTTTATACACTACGTACTTTTGCATACGTACTTTTGCGTACGAACATTTGCGTACGTACTTTTGGCATACGAACTTTAACGCCTACGTATATTTGCGTACGAACATTTGCATACGTACTTTTGTCCTACGTACTTTAGCGATACGTACTTTAGTCCTAAAATCGCGGGCCGGGGGCACTGAGTACCGACTGATCGCACTGAGGCCCGTGGTAGGCGAGCCGGACCTAGGTAATAAGGTCAGTCGGCGCTGCGCGAGTGGCTCTCGACAGCTTGTCAGGGGGTACTGAGAGGCGGATAGTGAGTGAGTGACGCAGGTCTGAGGAAAGCAGAGTTCAACGGAGGTAGGTGGAGGTCAGAAAATGTAAGTTAACCCGCGCCCCGCTGGGCTATTCAGCCATACGCGCCCTGCTGGGGGGGGGGCAGATTCTGCCCCCCCCTGTCTAACTTCCGAACCGATGGTCGTAGAAAGACGGGGAAAACGGCAATCGAAAGCTCTCAACAAGGCGGATCTTAAGAGCCCAAATTTTTTTGCTTAAGTAGGTCAGAGGTCAGGTCAAGGTCAGGTCAAGGGTACAAAATGCAAGTTTCTACAGTATCGGCCTTGCACCGTAGTTGCCGAAGAATGGACTGAGACTGATTGCCCAAAACGTGTTATTAGACTACCAAGACAATATTCGTTGCACACAATGTCATTCAAAGGTCAAGGTCAAGGTCAGGTCAGGTCAGGTCAGGTCACCAAAAACAAAATATAGAAAAGGGCATGTGCGACACATGTTTTATGGGTCATTTTACTCATGGAATTCAATAGGCACACTTAATAAGTGATATGGACCACCTCTGGATGAATTTCAGGTCGAGGTCAGGTCAAGGTCAGGTCAAGTGAGGTCAAATTTTGAAGTTGGTTTTTAAGGCCTAAAAAGGTGTCTATCCGATGCAGTTTTTCACGGCGAATCGAATGGTGCTATTTTTGTTTCCGTACGAGGTCTAGAACTTCCAAAAAAATCATTTTTCAAAAAAATTGTGTGTCGTGACGTCATACAATTTTGAATAACTCCCACATTTTTGAACCGATTCTTCTAAAAATTGGTATGTGGGTGCACATAGACCACTTCTTTGACATATATTCCGGTTTTTTCGATAAACTCAAAATTTTGGTTTTTATAAATATTTTCCCAAAAAAGTCAGTTTTTTGGAAAAATTTTGGCCAAAATCCAAAATTTTCAAAAAACCGAGATAGCCATTTCATAGACAAAGTAGAATCACGTATAACCTTTTTTGTTACGTCTTGATTCCTTTAAAAATGAAGATGTTAGCGGCGTTTGAAATTTTGCCGTTTTTGAGGCGAAAATGGCGAACATGACGTCACTAAAACGTCAAATTCTGAAAAATTTCCGACGGATTTCGCTCAAATTTTCAGGGAACGTGTCAAATTGATGTATGATAAGGTACTGAAAGTTTGACGTCGCTGGCGTAACGCGTTTAGAAGTTATTGGCGAAAAACGGGAGGGGGGGGCAGATTCTGCCCCCCCCAGCGGGGCGCGGGTTAAGGTCAGTGAAGATCGGCTGAGATTGGCTGGGTCAGCTGAGGTCATCGAGGTCGGCTGGGTCAGCTGAGGTCCACGAGGGTCTGCAAAGGTCAACTAGTCGTTGTAGTGCTATATGGCTGTAACAGAGATGGATGTATAGGGACAGGTGACAACAATGCCGGGTTATAAGGTGAACGTGTCGTAAGGCGTATTAATTACTGAGCTCACCAGTCAAAATCCAGAGACTGGTAGATGGAAGGACACTAAAATCGAAGACACTATATCCATGCACCTTGGTGGAGATGGCATACAATGTCGAATATTAAAAAATAGCAATAACAGCAGCAATCCATTATCAGAAAGGATTAAAAAAAGAAATGAAGGGAACCGTCAGCTCAGCAATGACAGAGCCGGTACCCATCTGCAGCTTCTGCTGAGTCTGCTATTAGTCGGGAGATTAGCTAATTCTGACGAGTAAAAAACATCCCCGATCTGGGTCTGTCGCGAGAAATAGTCTGCGACCGCATTGAAAAGGCTTCATATGACTCAAGTCGGGAAGGGTAACTTATCAAAATATGAAAGTTTACGCAGGCATGTGCTTTGTCACACAAGTAACAGCCAAAGATAAAAGCAAATAACTCAAGCACGTAACACGCGTAGAGAGCAGCGTTTAAACAACCGAAGAAGACACACGTCATAAAGCATCCAATAACACGTAGATAAGCAACTATTTGCAGATCCAAGGCTTTTCTGCGAATCGAGTTCAGTGTGTGCAAAATAACTACGCTGGTAACAACACTGATTGGTCGTCCTTACAAATGTTTGTTCAGCGGCTTGCATTATTGAGCAGCAGCGGATGGGGCAATACGTCCGGCGCGCGACTGTGCGAGCTCCATTGTTCGACCACGGCTGGTCTCCAATGGCCGCAATTCCTGCCACTGCCAACGTTCCAACAGCCTTCTGTGTTACAGGCCTTTCACCGTAAGTCAGGCAGAAGCCAATAGCAGTCCAGTGAGTCAATGGTACAACCGCCACCGTCTAGCATATACCACGTATTTACAGCCATGGGTTGGTGAGCGTGATGCAAGGCGAGACTAGCGAGCTGATAGAACTGGAGTTATTGGGGCTGGTTTTCAGAATATGTGGAAAACACCATAAATAGCACATACAAAACACCACAAACAGTTAATCACAGTGTACCACACACGCCGCATAAACCCAGATCGTCTACCACCTGCAGCGCGCTCCGTGGTAATCCATGTAAGACAAAACTCGAGAAGGTAAAGTTCAAAAAGGAAACCGCCAGCCAACAAAAAATCGCGCCTAAAATCAAACGAAAGCCTTCTTCCCGGAATAAGTCATTCTAACTACCAACTCGAGACAGGCCTTGCTCGAAACACTCGAACTCAAAACGCCTTGGTTATCTTCGAATAACTCTGTGCATAAAGTAAGTAGTCGATCAAACAATATTTTCGCCACGCCACCAACATTCTACAAATACGACAAAAACACCGCGACGTTCATTAAAAAACTTGTCAAACATCAGTCGTGTACAGCATCTTTGAAGTTCAACAATAAACACAGTTCAATAATTCACCACAGTCCTCAAACGAAAAGCGATGACGACAAATATCATCAAAAAAGACAACGTCTACGGGTTCAAGGACTACCGGGGATTTAGATGCTTTGTCGGGGGGGGGGAGGTTGTCGCGTAAATGTTATTTTTCATGCACTGCTATTGAAAACGCGTAAAAATGTCCCTGAGGAAGGTAATGACCCAGCATCCCCCTCCGGAATTCTGAATCCACTTGTGAGGAAACTAAGCAACGTAACGTTTTTATACAGCAATCTGGGTCTAGACTGGTGCAGTCACAAAAACAGACGAGCGGGGGACCAGCACCAATACATGCGTCACGGCGGCTCGGTGAGCACTGTGTGAGAGACTGTACCTGGGCGTCATAGAAATCCTGCAGCCTGGCCTGGTGAGAGTGAGAACACACAACACGGGGTCAATGAAGGTCGTATGAGGATCGGCCGGGCCAGCTCCAACACAGCCACACACAGCTCCATCAGAACCAGCCACACCGCAACACAGCTCCGCAACACCCAGCCAAGCAAACAGGCTTATAGGGCGAAACCGCAGGCAAGCGGTGATGAGAAAGAGAGCGCGAGGATGCGAGAGTTGTTATGTCAAAAGTACTCTTCTGAAGCAAAATGAGAATTAATTATGAAAGACTTTATTTAATCTTGCTCACAACTGATTTAAAGAAGAGTGTTATTGCTTGAGAGTTGCAGGGTGATGCCAACTACAGAGATGATGGGCAGAGGACAAAGTCTCCAACGCACCCACTCCGGCAGTAACAATAAACCAAAGCAAACAATCACACCGACGCCACGCCCCCGGCATGACGACACTGCGAGCAGGCAGTGGCACGTTCCGGGAGCCCCACACCCATGTCCGCTGCGTCACCGTCGCAGAGGTGGCAGGGAGCACTATGGAGGAGGCGTCGCGAGCTGAGACCGCGTACCCGCTCAGCAACAATGACGACACTGGGCTAAGCTGCCTCCTGTCACTCCAGGACTCGACTGGCGCACCCTGAGGTCAGACACTCATCAAGGATCAAGGACCAACAGGAAGGGATCAAAGATCGAGTGACACTCACCATCTGTTTGAGCCAGGTGCCGAGCGGCCGGCTGGTAGCCATGGATTGCTTCAGCTCCTCGTCTCGGATCACCTTCTTCTCCAGCACGTCCACCAGCAGCATCCTGCCCGGCTTCAGGCGGCCCTACACACACGGAAAGACACAAGAGCGTTTCAAGTTCAGGGCTTATACCTACTGCTCTTATCACCATACATCAGTAGCATATGCCAGCAGCATCCATGCGCGGCTTCAGGCGGCCCTGGACACAGCGATACAGGAGGCTGCAGGGAGAGATACGTACTCATCAAATCAAAATACACCAGCACCGTACACCAGCAGCATTCTGCCCAGCTTCAAACGGCCCTACACACTTGAGAGACACATGTTACATGGGCATACAATAACTCATCAGATCACAATACACCAGCAGCTTACAACAGCAGCATCACGCCAGGCTTCAGGCAGCCCTACACACCCCGAGACACATGAGGGTAATTTTGTGGTCCTACCTTCAAAACAGTGTTGGCAGTATAATCCCACCACAGGATTTCTTACCATCCTGACGATTTTGGCAATTTACTCCCACCCCTGGATGGAAAATGTCCTTACCTTACTGACGATCATGGATGTTTTGTAGAGTTCCTTACCTTCCTGACGATGTTGGCGTGGTCGGTGTCGAACACGCCCACCTCGGACGCCATCACCATGTAGTTGTCCTTGGTCTGGTAGTAGCGAGACGGGCGCAGGCCATTTCTGAAACATGACCATCAGAAGGCGTCACAAAACAATGGAAAGATAATTTATTGACGCAAGCGTTCACATATAAAAAAACGTTATTGTTAAGTCATTTCTTTCTTTCCTTCCGTTTAGCAGCGCTGCTTATTAACGTTATTGAGCTAACTCACTGCTGCAAACAGATGCGAATCAAATATCATCAGCATATACGGTTAACCAGAAGCAAGGCGTTCGTATCCAAAAGCCGAAACCAAAATAATGTACCCGTCTAAAAAAGGAACTGAATTCCTTTCCTTCCAGACTTCTGAATCTGGCAACATTTATCTAAAGCAGAGTGCTGAAAGCCGCTCCAGGCTCCAGTGAGCAGCCATCCATCAGATCAGACCTCATCCCGAGGCTGGCTACTGCCGAGGGCGGGGGCGGAGGCGGGGCGGGAGGCCATCCTTTACAGTCGCCGACCGCCCCCGCTCCCGCCGACCCCCCCCCCCCCCGCCCAGCCGCCGCTGACCCCGAGTAGCGCCGGGAGCTGTAGAAGACGGCGGCGTGGGCGACACTGGCTCAGTCTCCCTAATAACCCCAGACGTGATCCATAGCCGCGCCCACACACATAAACGGGACGACGGCGTCGACGAATATCCAATAGGCTGCATAATTTCCAACCTCATATCGAGCTCGTATTTTCCAGGGGCAAACGACAGAAAATGAGATTATACCTATTTCTGCATTGGGTTTTATATCGCTCAATATGAGATTTGGCAGAAGGGGTATTTAAACAGCACAACTACGTCTATAAGATGCAACCAGCCATGAGAAGGATTTACTGAACGGAGTCATTTTGAAAGGCCTTTTGAGGGTCTGTAGTCATAGATGCATGGATCTCGTACGCCCTTACAAATCAGCTTTCATCTTATAATTCATTTCTTCATCTATACTCCTTTTTTACCAATTGAGGGGCGAACAGTTGATAGTGTGATATTCTCAGAGAAGTCATCTCTCGCCTAGCCCACAGGCCGACCCGGGTGGAGCGACTGTCACTGAGCACGCCGCACGCGGTGCAGCGTGGAAACGCAACACCCAGCGGTGTCACGGTATCCCTATCCAGCGGCTGGCGGCACGCGGCCGACCCTTGGACAGCATCGCCGACCCAACAGACTACTGAGCTGGCAGTGGTGCGGCGCGGCCACCCTGCAGAGGCCGGCGCCCGGCGCATTGATAGCACAGCGCCAGCGGCGGCGGCGACGATCGCCTGCCAGGTCCCCGCGAGTTATAATGGAAATATCCCGACAGTCGCCGCGTCGACTGCCGACGCTGGGCGGTGGACGGTGGGCGGTGAGCGGTGGGCGGTGGGCGGTGGGCGGTAGCCAGCAGTGGGTTTGGCGGCCCCAAGAGATCGCACTCTCATGGGCAGTCATAACTCCCGGAAAATCGTCGCGGAATTATTTAGATACGGTCACCGGGGCAGCTTACGGAGAATCACCGCCCTATCAGTGCTGATTCAGTTAGCAGCCGTGGGGTTTTGAGGAGTATTTTGTCGATAAGGAAACATAGTTTGACGGTTACATTACACTATCCTATATCCCTTCTCGAAAATCTAGCGGACCGTCTACAGAAAATTATACAACAGAAATATGAAGCGAGCTGCAAATTGTGTGTTCCACATTCAGCAGCAGCTTGGCCACTGGAACCAGCTCAGCTCTCGCACAATGCCGGTCCAAAAATGGAAACTGCGCAGTGGACTCGGCATTCAGCGCGATGAAAGACCTTCCGTCGGTGCTGGGCCGACCAGGCTGCGCGCAACTTGTTTGCACTCTCGATAAATGTCAGCGACCGCGTGCTGGCAGCGTGCCAAATGCTCGGCACAGCAACGAAACCGAGAGGAGTACGAGGACATTACGTAAGCGACCACGGGCATACAGGGGCTATCAGGGTAGTTACGGCCAGTTTTAGAATGTAACCGGGGTCAGATACGGTAGCGTCGGCCGCACACGGCACAACAAGAGATAATAGCGCGCAAACAGGGATATCAAAGAGGGCTGTCATTAGGCTCAGGCCCTATGCGAAGTAATACGAGCACCTAGCGATTCACAATTCTCGTGTCTGGTGATTGTGGCTCGCAGGGACGCAAGCCGCTCTTTACCCATCGTCACCTTTTGTTATCCCGATGTTGTTTCCCATCGTCACCTCCCGTTAACCCTTGTTCCCTAGCCGTCCCCTGCACACGCACCGGTCCAGGATGGCGCCTATGAAGCGTCCATCAGTGAAGGTGAAGAGCGCCGGTCCGTCCCACGGCTCCATGGCGCAGCCGGCCCACTGGTAGAACTGCTTCTTCTCCGGCGACATCAACTTGTCGTTCTGCCACGCCTCCGGCACCATCGTCATCACCGCCTGCAACGGGGGAGGTCAGAGGTCAGCGAGACCAACGATAATAGCCAGCACAGCACACAAGGCACTCAAAGATAAAGAGAAAGTCCTGCAATGTTGAGCACATTCCGCTGTTTCATGTTTGAGGCAGTTGCTAAATTTAGAGGTCAGTTTAGAGGTCAATGCAGGACTGGTGGGGAAATGGTGGCAGAACGCCAGTTCTTCAGCCGTCAGAGCTGCCTATGACGGTCGTGCCCAGTGACGTCAACAATCAGAGATGTTGGCAATGCACATGGTCAGCAAGCGTGGCCTAGTGTTGCTACTAATCGAAAACTGCACGACAGTGGTACTTAAGAAAGCATCTTCTTGTATCGACTTCACTCTCTTAGGAAGCCAGAACGGAACACATTAGCAGCCTAGAACACTTATTGGAGCTCGCCGGCAGCCTCACCACCTTAGTGGCACTCAATGAGCCGTGACGTCACGCTAAGACAGTCGGAAGTCAGGTTGAATGGATAAGCGTCAGCTAACGACTTTTCATGGACCAAAAGGGATAAAGAATTAACCAAAGATTTTATTTCCGAGTAGTGTTCGATTGGTATGTTCACCGCTACGATCCGTAATGCCAGCTTCAATGAGCCGTAGATTGAGCCCCTTTCCCCACTCGCCCGCAGTAAAAACCTATTTACATGTCGTGAACCAATCTGGTCAGTTGAAGTGATTATACACAAAACCACACAAAGTCCAACCCAAGATACGTTGCAATCTAAACGAAATATTTCAACATCGGTCCAAACGAGTGGCGAGCATTCTGCGGTGCCCGGGTACGAACGCAACAATAACACGTTACATAAGCAGTCATCGACCGGGCCATCGTCGGTCGACGAAAGAACGGCATTGTGGACGGAAGGAATTACAAAAAAGTGAGAGGACCGTGAAAATTACATTTAGTAATAGTCCGACCTTACCCATCATTCATTAACCATCAAATTGTTGATTGTTATTTCGTGCTCCTCGGTCTTCTGTATTACGCAAACTAATATTTTTAGTGATGATAAAAACTGCAATGTTCCCAGGCGGCATTAGGGTGCTCTCGCCTCACACACGAATTTTCTTCTCTTCTGTGACTTCCACGCGTCTTCAGCCGGGGGTACCCCGTTGTCGGGTACGGCAATGGCCGGGGGCGTACCGACGCCTCAGACGTCGTTTGTATGCTGCTCCGGCACCCTCCCCAGTGTCCCATCATCGGCTGGGCTACAACGTCTGCACGGCCGCTGCCGTCTGATATCGGTCCAGCCGAGAGCAGTTGCTACAGAAAACCACCGATCGCTTACCACTACAAATCAGATTCTGAACTCAATGCTTCTACAGTTCACAGAACAGCCCGAAACCCTATCAGTCATGTGACCCTGTGCTCGGATGAACTGCTGAACAGTGGCGGCGGAAGGTAATTTTGGATGGGGGTGCAAAGTTTTCTCAAGGGGCCCTCTGGAAGTTTTGGGCCCCCCTTCAGTTTTTTTTAGTGATTATTATTGATTTGTGAAAAACGAAGATTTTGGAAAACTATCCCCATACACACAAGTTCTGTAAAAGGTTTGAAATTGCAGTGTACCTACCTGTCTCAAATAATGAAAGCATAAAGAAGCAAATGCAGCTGGTTTTTTATCAGTTAATCTTCTAGTCTAGCCACCACCCGCAGCGTCTCAAACCACTTTTCTGGATCCGCAGTGGACCATTGAGGGCCCTACGAGACCGTTCCAAGAAGACCGTGTTTAGAAGCCCCTTGGAAACCGACCACATCCACCAGAGACCACTCCTCCAGAGACCTACATGACTCCCCAGACTGAATGAGCCCTCCGATCAAGGTCGGTCTCTTGAAAGTTGCTGAAAGGCTTCAGAAGGCAGTATAGGCTCGAAAGTCTTTTGAGGGCTCTCAGAAACCGGCATCGGACCCAAAAAAAGCCTGTATGGGGGCCCTCCAAAGCCGGGATGGAGGCCACAGGAGCCGATGTTTAGCCTAAAGAGCCGGTTCGGAGGACTGAATAGAGGAAAGGGGTCTCAGTGGGGCCTTCAGGGGCAAGCGTTTGAGCCCCACAAGTATGTGTGGGGTCTTAGAGGCAGGTAGACCCCTGGGGTATGTACGGGGTCCCAGGAGCTCGCGTGTGAGCCCTCAAATATTCGGCTGGCGGCTACTAGAACCAGCATGGGGATTCTTAGAAGCCGCTTAGACCCACACTTCATGGGTCATGAGTCCAAAGAGTCGATGTAGGGGCCATAAAAGCCGGTGTGGGCCCATGGCCCCATAAGTTCCGACATTGAGACTCTCAGAGGCCGGCGACGGGGCACCAAGAGCAGATAAAGTGCCTCAACAAGCCGACATGGGGCCTGAGAATCAGTGTGGAATTCCAGGAGCCTGCGTGAGCTCTCAGAGACCTTCGTATTTCGTAAGGTCCACAAAGGTCGTTGAATCCTCTGAATCTGAACTCTGCGGGGCCCTCAGAGGCCAGCAGGCAGCATGTCTCTTGGCACCTGCCTGCGTTGAGTTGAGACCCTCCGAGGACGTCGTAAGGTTCTTCAGAGGCCAGCGTTGGCCCGTGAAGCCTTCGTTAGGCCTTAGAAGCCGTCAACAGGGCCCTCAGAGGTCAGCATGGCCCCTGGAGCCTGCCTGCGTTGAGGCCCTCAGAGGCCGTCGTGGGGCCCTCAGACGGCAGTGTGGGCCTTTTGAGCTTGTGTTGGGTCTTAGAGACCATCGTGAGGGCCCAGAGAGGTCGTCGTCAGGGCCCTCAGCCCCTCAGGGACCGTCCTGGGGTCCTCAGAAGTTGTTGTGAGGACCCTTAGAAGCCTTCGAGAGGATCATCAGAGGTCGTAATGAGGGTCCTTGGCCATATTGAGGGTTTTCATGGGCCCTCAGATACCTTTGCAGGGCTCTCAGAGGCCTTGGTAAGGCCGCTAGAGGCCATCGTTGTTAGGGCTCTCAATAGACCGTTGCAGAGCCCTCAGATGCCAGCATAGCCCCTGCAGCCTGGTTGGGTTGGGGCCCTCAGAGGCCGTCGCTGGGCCGTCTGAAGCCAAATGGACCCTCAGACTTGAGTTGGGTATAGGGCCGTTACGAGGGCCCTCAGAGACCGTCGTAGAGGCCCTCAGAGGCCAGTGGGGCCCCTGGAGTCCTGTGGGACTCTCAGCAGTCGTCATGAGGGCCCTTAGTGATCATTATAGGGCCCCAGGGGACAGAGTTCGTCGTGAGAGCCCTCAGAGAATCATCGTAAGGGCCCTCAGAGGCCGTCATAGGGGCCCTCAGAGGTCAGCGTGGCCCCTGGAGTCTCCTTGGGGCCCTGGAGTCTCTGTGGGACCCTCAGCGGTCGTCATGAGGGCCCTTAGTGGCCGTTGTAGGGCCCCAGGGGACAAAGCCGTCAGGTGGGAGCCCTCAGAGATCGTCATAAAAGGGCCCTCTGAGGCCGTCGTGGGGGCCCTCAGATGCCACGTGGAGTACCAAACGCGGCTCGGGACACTTCTAGCCGGTGTGGGGGCCCCAAAGACTAGCATGGGGCGCACCTGGCCATATTGGACATCCCGGATGATTCCACATCAGTGTTCGTTTCCCGATCACTGGTTTTCAAGAGAAAATATATTGGATGGTGCGACGGGCCCATTGTGCGGAGTTTGGGGGTGCAAAAAGATATGTTTGCACCCCCATGTTTTTCGATGGGGGTGCAGCTGCACCCCCTGCACCCCCTATTCCGCCGCCACTGCTGCTGAAGTCACATGACCGTGCCGATGGCCGCGGGCAGTCATCGTCACGTGACCCGTTGATTGTTTCCACCAGCTGCCGGCCGGGGCGTCGGCCGGGGCTCTCAGTTCTGGCAGAGGTCCAAGTCGACACGCCGGCGCCGGGGGGGGGGGGGCTTCAGCCCCTCCCCCTCAGACACCCTGCCGGCCTCACTGACCGGTCAGCCAACGATGCGGCTGCAGACCCCCCCCCCCACCCCCACCCCCTCTGCAGGATAAACAGTTCGGAGCAGGCGGTGAGCACTATCCAATATAACGGATTTAGACGAGAGATCGGGGATTTGGACGGAGAGCATTGAAGTCGAATGTGCGTTCCAGAGACAGCTTCGACAATGTCGAGATCTGATCAAATGTAGGAGATATTATGTAACGTCTTATATAACACCTACGCGTACAATACATCTGCATCCCTATGTTCGTCAGGACGTCCTGGAAGGGATGATATTCGTTCTATTTGCATATTTTTTGTCGCATCTTTAGTTGGAAAGTATAACGTGAAGTCGAGTTGTATCTTCTGGAGCTGCGGGACATAAGTATGGACTGGATGAAACCTCTGGATGACACGACCAAGCACCTAACGCTCTGCATAACTGGTGGGGCTGAGGATGAAATTGTGAGGCCCACATGACCCTAAATAATGGCAGACGAGCGCGATCGCACTCACCAACCTATTCACTCGCCTCCCGGCCCCCACTGACCTCCGGCAGAAGGCGTCCTCCGGCCATGACGAGGAACTCGAGCACGCAGTCGACGCAGCCGGAGTCTGAGAGGTTGGGCTCCACCACCGGGTAGATCATGGGCAGCTCCTCTCCCAGTTTGTCAGACTTCATCACACCCTCGCGAGCCTTCATGTAGTTCACGTTGCCACGCAGCGTGTTGATCTCGCCATTGTGGGCCAGCATCCTGAGGTCAGATGGAGGAGAAAGGTCAGCGACGGGCCAGAACTCAGAGGCAGCTGACAGGAAGGTCAGACCTGACCCCAACACAGGTCGCAGAGCCATTTAATGAGTTTTACTCTTTTAAATCGTGCACAAACAAATAAAATGCAAATAAATGTAATGTAAATGTAAATGTAAATGTAAGCAAATGTAATCGTGATGGATTCAAAAGTTGATTGCACAAATGGTTTCTCTGATGAATTGCATAATTTAGTTCACTAGAAGTGGCAGCAACCTGCCAGTTGGGCAGACTAGCATTGCGAAATAATGCCCGAGCTTTCCAACAGGCATCAGTTGTAGCACAGCCGCCAGCATCTATGGAGCATTTAATCTCCAGCCGCTTTGTTTGGCACAGGTGTGCTACAACATACAATACTAGTGCTATCGGTCTGGGCAGTATCGATGTCAAGAGCCGTTCAAGAGGCAAGGGTGGCAGTAGGATGAAATAACACAAATGTGCCACTACACATTGCCGTTACGTAATAACCCACAGGTGCACAGGGAACCATTCGACGGGAACCTCCTCCCCGCAATGCCAGCAACGGGCGACCCCCACTGGCCGCCTGATGTGTCTGGGAAGATGCTCTGGGGACTGAGCTAAGTTATGGAAGGGTGGTTGGCAGTTGCCCAAGGGGGTATCGTCCAAGAAAGCGTCAAGACTATTGGGGCCTCGAGCCTTCGTCTAACGTTCCAGAGCACAAAGCGCAAAAAAGCAAAATAAGAAACCGGGTACTAGCTGTTATAAAAATGTCTTTAAACGTATCGGAGAAGCTCAGCATCCCGCAAAAAAATCGGTACGTTTCCAGTGGCAGCCAAATGCCAAAAGAATGACTCTCTACGTGAGGCTTTTCAACAGTCCACTGATGTTTTCGGGATGACGTGCACGGCTCTATAACGACATCTCAAACTGGCACCGACAAACAGGACTGCCAGCGCCGAGATTGGCGCTGCCTTTATTCAATTGCTGACCTATTTGGCCACTTGTGTGGCAATAACAGGTTTGTATCAGGCTCAACTCGACCGGCCTAAGCCGGACCGTGGACAGGATGACAGATTTGGTCCAGTCCACGTCTAAATCTAGACCACGAGACCTCTAGAGGTCGAGGTGCAAACCCACGGACCGTCGGCCCCGACCTTCGACCATCCCACTCCTTGCCCTCCATTACTAAACCGTCCAATTCGTCGATATTTATAGGCGTCGCCAAGCCGCGTCGCAATGCAAACATGGAAGCTGCAGCCTTCTGGGGGGCTTCGCTGGATCGGGGGCGCCTGCGCGGAGTGTGCGAGCCCGCGCCAGTATCGAGCGGGGAGTGGTCGCACTGTCGAGTGTCGAGGAAATGGGCGCCGGATGGACCGGATCTGACCGGTGTCGGATGGACGACCCGACGCTCCGGGCTTCTTGGCTGGCTTTGGCAGCGACACTCCCCCGGAGAGACTACCGCGGGGCACATTAGCGGTCGTGGGATGATAAGCGGATGATGCATATTTGACGTCCAATCGGATATTCGGAGAATCCAGAACAAAGACAACGCTGATCGAATAGCGGAATTGGAGCGTTACAGTGCAAGACGTATGGCTAAGTGATTAGTAATTTATTATTTCTGGCAGTAATTCGCGGTTCTGGTAGATTTTATGGATATCGTTAATAAATACAATGAAAAATCAAAATAGCAAGGCAATCAATGTGTGGCGAACGCACTGGCGAGGCTATCCAATCATTGTTCTGTCCTTGAAGTTGATATAGTAAAACAAACAATCTGCCACGCTTTTAACGTAATTTGAACGTTTCCAGCAGTCCAAACTCCCAAAGTTGAGGCTGCCGGTTGCAAGGCAGTAAACAATGCCCGATGGACACTCGTCTGTCTAGCAGTCTAAGATAGCCCGCCAAGAGTCCCAAGAATTTACTGTCCGTGAGGAACCGCTCCTGCATATTGCATGTTCATAACAGGTCCAGCGCCAGGCCCAGATTCGCGATAGCCAAACGCTACGGCTGCTGAAACGCCAAGCATGACCGTGGACCTCAACCCAGATATAGAGCTTTAAAACCAGTATAACGCCTTTTGGGGCGACTAACGGAGCGAGCGAGAGGGTGGGCCTTGCACGTGCGAAATTGCGAGGGGTACCTCCAACTGACTTGTGCACGGCACCCTACTAACTGGTCTCTAGCGATGTGCCAAATTTGGGCACAATCGGCCCAGCCGTTCTCGAGATCTGGAAGCGGCACCCTGCACGTGCGCACGTGCAAAATGGGTCCCAACTGACTTGTGCACGGCACCCTACTAACCGGTCCCTAACCGTGTACCAAATTTGAGCGCAATCGGTCCAGCCGTTCCCGAGATCTGGAAACGACCCCTGCACGTGCGCACGTGCAGCAGCACCCCAACTCTGGCACATGTATATGCAGTGCCTAGTGGGTGCCTACCTACATGCCAACTTTCAGCGCAATCGGCTTAGTAGTTACCGAGATATTGCAACAATTACAAAACTGACACCTCTTCGTTTTGCACGTGGCACGTGCATAAGGGGTCACCCACATGCATCGGGAATAGTCCAATACTTGGTAGAAGGAATGAAGCTACCCTACAAAAATTACCGCGTGTAAATCGGTCAAGTGGTTGCTGAGATATAAGCCTCGCAAAAGCGTGACCACGGCCGGCCGGCCGCTCATACTCAGAAATTTCCGTTAATCTAAGGAAAGACTACGCTCGCTTCGCTCGCTCCGTCACTGGCGGATCCAGGGGGGGGCCACCGGGGCCATGGCCCCCCCCAAAAGCCTGAAAGGGGGGGCCAACATATCTTTTGGCCCCCCCCCAAAACGCTTGGAGAAAAATTAATGTGAGAAGGTTGCGTAGTAGATACCTACTAGAATCAGCAGCGTGATTCAATAGCGTAGAGAAAGTCAGGGGCGCGGGAACTACTTTCAGACTGGGGGAGCACACCATAATAGAGATCAACCTAGGGTCCCCCCAAATCTAGTTTTCTCACCGGTTTTAGGCCACTTATTTTTAATCCCTTGGCTTTTTCAACAAAAAAAAGAAACAGTTGCAAAAAAGGACGGTATTCCGTTTGAAAGTTGTGGGGGCACCGCCCCCACTGGCGGATTCAAGGGGGCCACCGGGGCCATGGGCCCAAAAAGCCTGAAAGAGGGGGCCAACATATCTTTTGGCCCCCCAAAACGCTCGAAGAAAAATTAATGTGAGAAGGTAGATACTTACTAGAATCAGCAGCGTGATTCAATAGCGTAGAGAAACCCAGGGGCGCGGGAACTACTTTTAGACGGGGGGGGGGGGGGGAGGTCACACCATGATAGAGATCAACCTAGGATCCCCCAAATATAGTTTTCTCGCCGGTTTTAGGCCACTTATTTTTCATCCCTTGGCTTTTTCAACAAAAAAAGAAAACATTTGCAAAAAGGAGCGGTATTCTGTCTGAAAGTTGTGGGGGCACCGCCCGCACGGCCCCAGAGTTGGGGGGGGGGGGGAAGCTGCCACCACTGCCCCCTCCCCCCGGTTCCCGCGCCTATGGAGAAACTACCGGGTTTACTAGCTTCCTTCATAAAGTGTCGTCATGTCTTATCGTCACCCGAGAAGGTCTTATTGCATAAATATCGATTGAGCTGTCAAGTTAACAAACTTGCTGTGGCAGCCTGACCTGACATGACCCGGCAACTTTTCATTCACGGAATATGTGCAATAAATTTTTTAGGAAAACTCACTGAGTTTTCGTTGAAAAAAAAACTTGTTTTGTTTCGTAATTGTACAAGAAGCATATGAGGGACCTTTTTGTCCCTTCCTGCGAAACGGTAAAAGACTTATTTCGGTCACAGCTCAGGCCAATCTCTATGGGTCAGTCGGGTCACTTATTTCTTAAAGGGTCCTTACGGCATCCAAGGACCAATTCCGGCTTTTGAGTGCGCCACATCAGCATTTGAGCTACGACAGATGTCGAAATCTGAATATATGTTACAGGCCGTATGAAAAATCGGTCCGTTTCCAAACGGCCTGGCCCAGTCAGGCCATATGAAACTACCTGAAAACACCGGCCGTTTGCAAACTATGACCTGAAATATCAGACCGTTTGAAAACGACCTAGTTAGACCGGCTCCGTAATAAAACCTACAAATTAACTAATGGTGTGAGAGGCAATTCCGTGAATAGCTCAATGGCTTGCTTAAATTGCATCATGTCTGTCACCTTCAGCTTCACTCAATGAGATATTTATTACGTAACGAGATAGGCCACTTCGGAGCATGACACGGTTACCGTTCTTTCCAAACTCTCTCAATACCCCCTGGCCAGCCAACAGAGAAGTTAGTGTATAGTGCTCCAGCTTGGGCTTGGCTGGCGCCTCAGACACTATATTGACTAATGCTGACAGAAAGCATTCTCGGCTGGGGCACTGTGGCGGGGGATCGCGACGGGCGCAGGTCAGGAGAGGTGCGCAGTTGTTGTCTTGGCAGCGGCAGCGACCGCGCTCAATATACGCTGATAACGACTGGTGACGCGGCGCGGTGTCGTACTCAATGGGCTCTACAGGCGCTATCCAAGGGATCGAAGGAAAGCAAGATGAGAATAGTATAATGCAATTTAGCAGAGGTTCAGTGGAGAACATCTAACTTACCTGAGCGGATGAGCTCTCTCCCAGCTGGGGAACGTGTTGGTTGAGAAGCGCGTGTGCACCAGGGCCAGGTAGGTATCATAGCGCGGGTCCTGCGGGCAGACGGTACCAGGTTAGAGAATGGCTTACGGCGTCCCCAGGCACGGCTGGCAGAGACTGACATGAGGGCATCGCGGATGGCGTACTGGGTTGAGCAAGGTTTACAGAACGCTGCTGTTTGTGCCGTATGTTTATGGCTGTGTACCATTGTGCAAGATTTGATCATAAACATATAAATTATGAAGGCAAATGCTTGAGTACATTTCCCAAGAATGTTTTCCGTTTGAGTAAGAAGTTGTTAGATGTTGCAACGTAATAAAACTGCTAGGCAGCGTTATTATACTATTTCACGCCATTCCTAAGCTGTTGGCAAGCCCGATGTGGTTCGTTTATAGTGAATTGCATGTGTGAGTACAAGGTGAATATGAATAAGCGTCAGCTTACAGGGCCCGCGCTCACTGTTAGGTCGGCGGCGGCGGCGGCGGCCAGGCTGCGTGCCTGCCGCCCTCAGCCCGCTTCCGCACCACACCTGCAAGAGCCGACACACCCGTGCCACCGGACGCGCTCTCTAGCTCTCTCTGTCTCTATCGCTCTCTCTCGGTCTCTCTCCGCGGGGGACATGGATCCCGACACGGCACGCCACCCAGACTGACCAAGGCTCCGCTCCCCAACGCTAATAAAGCACACCATTCCGACGCGACGCATCATGGTGATTCGCATCGTTCCTACCTTGCCCGGCATTTGCAGACTAATCCATTTATTAGCTCTGCTAAATTAAAAGCTTTTGCTTCTCCCACGTGCGACAAAAGTTAGACAAAAACCCAGACGACACAAGCAACTCAATTTGTGTGTGTGAAAAGGATGTCAACATCACACGCCGCGATAAAAAAGCAAGCGGGCGTCTTAGCGAGCATCTGTCTCGAATAGCCCCGTATGTTGCTACACTGCGGTGAAACTATGCGTTCTAAAAGCAATGTTAGACATAAATGATTGGACGAACACATCACATATTGACCACTTCAATCTCCCTCAGAGTTGTGACAAACAATAATAGCCGAAAAGCTAGGATTCAGTGATTCTGATGAAATCGAAATGTAGACAATTCATCGCATAACACTCGCCAATCTGAACAAAGCGCATGTCTAGTAAATTGGAACCCCATGAGCCCACCTATTCACCCTGTCAGTCACCGAAGCAGGACCCCACTCACCGTAGCGAGCTGTGCCGGTCGGACGGACGCCGGTGCTGGCTCACCTGGAGGTCAAGGAAGTAGGTCCAGACCTGCTGCGAGGTCAGCTGACCCTTGTACACGATCGTCGTGCTCGACAGAGAGATGATGTAGAAGCGCACTCCCGGCCGCGGCACGGCGTGCGTCGACCGCTTCCGCAGCACAAACACCTGAGGAGCGTACAGGTGAGATTTTTATCGGGCTATTGGCGCATCGGTGCGCCATTTCACCGATGAGGGTACAGGTTTCGCGGGTTTTAGCGGTAGGTTTTGCACCTAGAAAATTTAGTGTGCTTCAGGCTATATCTTCGTCGTCTTAAAGGGACCATCCCACCTTAACATTAGTTTTGAGTTGAGATAGCCAAGTTTGCGGCCAGGCTCAGAAACCACCATTTATCCTGGTCGCAACCCCCGCAGCTTTATGGTGTTCATGAAATTTCTTCCCTTTACTTGCAGGGTGGGACCAGCTTAGTCCCTATCTCTTAACCATTAGCGGTTTTTTGATGACGTCAGCAGTCATTTCAACGCCCGCCATTCCTTGAACCCGAGTTTTGCTGACCTTGAGCTCCCTTTTTTATCAACGTGAAATCCGTCGTCGGCGCTGAGAAAGCCTATTGCTTTTCATTTTAATTAGAATATTAGAAGATACCCACCACTGGAACTTGGACTGATATTATACCAAGGCCGAAGATGATCAAGCTGCCTGCTATATCTGGAGCTTGGTGTTCAACTTCAACATGGAATAAAAAACAAAATATCAAAGCAAACTGGATATGGTACTGCAAGTTAAAGTCCAAAGAAATTTGAAGAGCTGACAATTGACATTAATTCTTTTCCTGCAAGGTTTCCATATGGAGATCACAGTCACACCATGAAGAAATATTTTTGATGTTAACAGTTGAAAGGGGATTTATCTTCCAGTTTTGACGAAAGACGCTGCTGACTGTCTTTGGAAAAGGATGTCGGCATGAGGTGCAATTGTGCTTGTGAAGTGGTTATAACTGGTCTTTTCACAGTATTAAATTAAATGTGCCATTGCAGCCAAGTGTGTTATCATGTAAGGTAAAATCAAAACTACAATGTTGGTTTTACGAGCATTGAGAAGGCTGGTAGGTAACACCTGCCTGTGCTCGTAAATCATGCTGCCAGAGTATTCTAAATCAATTTTATCATACACTATTGTTGTCCAGAATGGTTGCACTATTGTTTGGTATCATTATTCCATGTAAATATGGTAGTGTAAAGTCCGACCAACATGTTACCAGATTTGAAGCTGTTACGTTACCTAAGTACCTGTTTTTTACTGGCGTGGTGAATGTCACCTGGATTTTGTTTTGAGGTGCAGACCTAGTAACTCTGACTACATGGGTTTGAAGCTATTATCTATTCTGTTTTTACTGGCCTGGTGAATGGCGACTGATGTTGTCCGTGGATGGCACTGAAACAAATTTTGAGTGTTTTGTACAGTGTTTTAATACAATGCTGAGGGCTGAAAGTTGTCTTGTTTAGAGTGGTGAAAGTTCAGGATATGCCAGCCACCATGGTGGGTCAGAGTTAAATGTGTTGCAGTCAGTTCGGCTTCGGCAAGCACACGGATGGGCATACGCATCAAGACCTGCTCTGCCATACTTTCAGCCAATTTTACCTAGGTAAGTCTTTTCTTTTTTCTGCCAAAAGCTATGACATTGTGAATTTCAGCACTGTGGCCTGTGTGTAGCTTTCAGGAGAGCAATTCTAAATAAAGCTCTGATAAAGTGCAAAATCAGCAATGCAGCCCTCTATTACATTTTCTACAACATCTTACTTGTTCCTTGCATGGAGAGAAAAATGCAATGTTATGAATTCGTTTATTCACATAATTTGACAAGCATGCAGTTACCTGCTACTATCACTGCACAAAACAGAGCAGAAAACATCAGTTGATCAAACACAAGACATAACAGAAGTTTACAACATAGGGCTGCCGAACCTGCTTCCTCCCACACAGTTGATGCCATTTCCTAGCCTGGCTTGATGTGAGCACTGAATAGCTGCTTTGTCTAATTACAGCTCACTACCATTCAACTTAAACTACTCTCTTTAAAGTAAGAGTGAGAGCGTTCAGTGTTCATAGCAGCTCGACAGACGACAGACAACAAACATCTTGACAAACCAGCCAGTATTTGATTTGGCTAATGATTTATGTGCTTGTTGTATCATGGCCAAACTACTTTAACAGCAATAATCCCTGTTTCATCTTGATCTTGCTTTTATTTCCATTTGAACTCAGATCTTGAAACAATCATCTGAAGTGATATCAGATACTGGCTTCTGTTTCTCTTGAAAGCAAGTTAAAACAACAATGATAAACTAAGGCAGGAGATGTGAGTTGTGGCAGTAGATTTTTGATTCAACATATGTCAACCTTATATTGCTTGAGACCTCTGGGAAAGACAAACAAATATTTATAGTTTTTTGATAGTTTGGATTCTTGGCTTGATTTAGCAGATCAGCTGTGAACCTTGACTTTGAAATCACATAAATGTCATGGTACCCGAACGAATCCTCGCATGACATTTCTTCGTAGCACAATTTTTCGTCCGCATTTCTTCGTCTACAAATCTTCGTCGGTGCATTTATTTGTCCCTCAATGCTTACTCTTGCATATATTTGCGTTGAAGAAGAAATGCGAGCCGATTTTCATATACCCTGGTGCGAGACAAAGTAATGCGATAGGTACGAATAAATGCCCTGACGAAGATTTGCAGACGAAGAATTGCGATACGAAGAAATGCCATAAGAATTGTCCTGGAACCCTTTATTGGCCATCATATATTGACCTTGATAAGATAAACGCATCATTCGCGCAATATTTGTCGCACTTTGATACCAAACTATTGCTTCCAAATGCCGACGTAAAGAAAACCTTTATGTGACGTCATAGAAACAGCGGATTTCCCAAAAAGTAAACAAAAATAAAAGTCTTATATCTCGAAAACGGGTGAATATTTTCCGGTAAAATTTGGTAGATGTTCATTTTCTCTCTTTGTGATTCACGCTACATCACTTTTATGCCAATTCATTAACTTTTTTGAAGGTGGGAGGGTCCCTTTAAGCTTTTAAGTGTTGAAAATGCGATCGACTTGTTGGTTCACAAGCCGGCCATGATCGTGTAAAATGGCTTCATCGTAGATCGATTAGTTCCTGAGATATAACCGGAAATGTCAAAGTGCAAAACCTACCGCTTAATCTCGCGAGAGCCGTACCACAACGATTCCGAAATATCTGAATAATTAAATGTAATATTTTGCACCTATCTTCTTGAATAATTCCCAAAACCTTTAAAGATTAATTAGGAAGGAAACCAATTTACCCTTCGTTACATCCGCGACTGACCTGCAGTTTGAACACGTCGTCGGGCATGTTGGCATCCAGCGGAGCCACGAACAGCTGCCTCATCAGCGGCTCGCCGCGCCGGGCCGTGGCGCCGATCCCGGAGTTGTCCACGGGAACGTTCCTCCAGCCCAGCACCTGACGAAGAAGAAGGACGGTCGGTCTGAGCGGAGAAGCCATAGGGGTGGGACATTTTAACGACATTCTAAGAGCCAGTGGAAGGGTTACAGCAATTAGTCTGCACAAGGAGCGTCAGACTTCGAGAATATGGACGTTTTTTTGCAGAATAAACAATGGAAGAAAAGAATCGGCTGATAAGCCGGGGGATGGAGATCATTTCGTAAATGTAGGCATGAATGTACAAAACCAGATAAGGCGAGCTACAAGCTAATTACGTATACGAGTATCAACATAAATGCAAAAGTTCATTAAAGACGGTTTTGAAATGGACCGAGAGCAGAGATCAAGGCGCCTCACCTTCAGTTTGCACTCCTTCGCGAACTCGTCGATGATGCCCTTGCACTCTTCCTCTCCCTTGTCGTTGACCATGCAGATGCCGGTGGCATAGCGGCCCAGCGGGGGTAGCTCGAAGCCCAGCTCATCCCTTCAGAACAAAATAAAAAAGGATGTAAATAGACAGTGTTTGAGCCAAAGGTTCGAAACGGCAGGTAAACGACATTGCTGTTTTTATTTCACCTTGTCCGTCGTGAATATGTACAGTGGATCTAGTAAGGATCTCCAGACGTTACTAGATGGCGTCGAGCCTCAGTCGAGTCCATGTCAAATTCAAGGGGAGGTCAGTACCGAGCTGGACCCGATGGGGAGGTGGGCGAGGGGGGGGGGGGGGCGGTTGGCGAGGTCACGGTGCGGGTGACCTGTCAAACAGCCCCGGCGCGGTGGGGCACTGCCGCGGGCAAATGACGCACTCCAGTGTTGTTCCATATCGCGGTGGTGGGCCGGGCCGGGGCGGCCGGTTAGCTTGGCTGCTTGGAGGAAAGGATAATGAGGCATGGGTTTGCTGTGGCCGGTTCATCTACTGTCAACTATGATGAACCCAAAGTAATGCAAATATGATGTTGGTAATGCAGCTGACAATGGAATGCTAGCGAATGTTCCGAGCGCCCGAAGGATTAAGATTATTTATGTCTCCTGAAATTTTCATTGAATATAATTCAAGCACTAGAAATATCGTATCGTTCGCCAATTTTTTGACCGGCTGGCGTTTCTTCCGTAGGCGCCCTTGGGCAAATAATTATCACGCAGGTGATTTATTTTTTGCTGGTAAGATTTAAGGTCAAATCAAGTCGCTGAGAGGAGACGAGGAAAAGCGGACGAATGCCACATTTTTGTGCATAAAGTCTCAATTAAAAAAAGCTTTAAGTTATTATACGTGTAAGCTAAAAAACAATAAGATAAGTTAATAAAAATATTTGACCCGAAATTGGCCTCTGTTTTCTCTGACCATGATTGCGTGTAAGACACAGGTCCAATTCCGGGTTCAACCCGACCCGACATGGTTCGGCTCCCCCTTTTTTAATATAAATTTGGCCCGAACCTATTGAATGAAAGGAATCATAAGGAAAGAGTCCCCGCTAAGCTGAGCTTGTTGCGTTGACCCTACCCTCTACCCTCCGATCAAGCAATTCCTGGTCTATGGCAGAATTCAGATTCCAGTGTTTAACGTGCGCACATAGCCGCGCACGGCCGATCCCCTCGCTGACTTCGCCTGGCAGCGGCCTGCCACCAACCACAACCATACCCGTCAGGAGCTCAAAAACGTCAAGCACACGTCGGGTTTCGAACCCGGACTTTTGCAACCGGGACGTGCGCTCTCACCACACGGAGTCCAACGCCCTGCTGTCCGAGCTACCGGGACGGACATTTACCTAGGGGCTTCGCCTCGTGACATTGACAGACGTCAGACACTTTGGCCGAACTATAGCCGTAGCACTGAGCAAGCTGCGCAGGGCGATAGGTGCTCGTAGCGTTTAGGTTGGGTAACCTGTGAAGTGTGAGCTGAACGCGATGTCGTGAGTTCGAGCCCCACTCCCGGGTCTGGTTTTATCTGGACACGAACCAAAACCTTTTCTTCTACTGCAACACAGACAAGCACGATGACATCTTTCGCCAATATCTTTCCCCAAAATCCTCTAAAAAAAAGTCAAGATTATCGCTATTAAATGTCTAGCTTAGTTTCATTTTTAAAGAAAATATTTTTGGTCATTTTTCTGGAGCCATTTTAACTCTTTCTTTTCGGATTCTTTTCGACCCGATAAACTCATCAACTGAACGTGCCAAATGAAAAATACCCAGCTCAAATAACATTTTAGAAAAGCCTAAGACTGTCATCATGCAACTATCGACTGAATAGTTGCATGCTTTTAATACGTCCTAGATTTCAATTATCATTTTTCAAGATTTTGGCTGGAACTGGCGCTGCCTCTCGCTTGTCCGTTTGTTTGAGATAATGATTCCCTTCAGTCGCATTCTTGCTGGTTCCACATGAACAGGATACCACCATACCGGAGTGAACGCACCCGCAACCATCATCCCCTCCCCTCAGCCTCGGCGCAGTGGCGGGCGGCCCTGGGTGGCCCACTCCCGGCGCTACGCACACCACATGCGCCGTGATACCGCGTCACTCCCCCACCCCCTCCCTCCTTCCCCACAATGACCGGTGTCCTCACTTCCCTCGATATTTGGACTCGCCCTACCCCGACCGTAGCGCCACGTGGTGGCTCTGGAGATCTTAAATAGACCCACTGTACACTCACGGGATAACGGTGGCAGGGAGGACCTGCAGACCTCTCGGTACACGGTGTCCGTAATGTCAGTAGGAATGGGGACAGTTACCTGCACATCTCTCGGTACATGGTGTCCAGAATGGGGACAGTTACCTGCACATCTCTCGGTACATGGTGTCCAGAATGGGGACAGTTACCTGCACATCTCTCGGTACATGGTGTCCGGAATGGCGGTAGGAATGAGCAGCTGCCGGACATTGGTCACGTGACCACATTTTCCGTTACAGCTGTCAATTTAGCAGCAGTTTGATTATCCAACTACAGTTTGATATTCAGGGTGCGCCGATTTCGCCCAAACTTGCCCCAGGGACCAAGTCTGACACGCTGAGCACGAATCTGGTGTCAGAAATCCGCTATTCTCAACCGATCACCCAAATTTACCGTTTTTGAGTTCGTCCATCTACAGATTGACAAACTCCAGGGGCCATCGATTTGGCCCAAAAATGGGTCTAGGGGACCAAGTCTGACACGCTGAGCACGAATCTGGTGTCAGAAATCCGCTATATTCTCGACCGATCACCCAAATTTACCGTTTTTGAGTTCGTCCATCTACAGATTGACAAACTCCAGGGGCCATCGATCTGGCCCAAAAATGGGTCTAGGGGACCAAGTGTGACACGCTGAGCACGAATCTGGTGTCAGAAATCCGCTATTCTCAACCGATCACCCAAATTTACCGTTTTTGAGTTCGTCCATCTGCAGATTGACAAAACTCCAGGGGCCATCGATTTCGCCCAAAAATGGGTCTAGGGGACCAAGTGTGACACGCTGAGCACGAATCTGGTGTCAGAAATCCGCTATTCTCAACCGATCACCCAAATTTACCGTTTTTGAGTTCGTCCATCTACAGATTGACAAACTCCAGGGGCCATCGATTTTGCCCAAAAACTAGTTTAGGGGACCAAGTCTGACACGCTGAGCACGAATCTGGTGTCAGAAATCCGCTATTCTCAACCGATCACCCAAATTTACCGTTTTTGAGTTCGTCCATCTGCAGATTGACAAACTCCAGGGGCCATCGATTTCGCCCAAAAATGGGTCTAGGGGACCAAGTGTTACACGCTGAGCACGAATCTGGTGTCAGAAATCCGCTTTCCTCAACCGATCACCCAAATTTACCGTTTTTGAGTTCGTCCATCTACAGATTGACAAACTACAGGGGCCATCGATTTGGCCCAAAAATGGGTCTAGGGCACCAAGTGTGACACGCTGAGCACGAATCTGGTGTCAGAAATCCTCTATTCTCAACTGATCACCCAAATTTACCGTTTTTGAGTTCGTCCATCTACAGATTGACAAACTCCAGGGGCCATCGATTTGGCCCAAAAATGGGTCTAGGGGATCAAATCTGACACGCTGAGCACGAATCTGGTGTCAGAAATCCGCTTTTCTCAACCGATCACCCAAATTTACCGTTTTTGAGTGCCAGCTGGAGTTTGTCAATCTGTAGATCAGGGGTCGGCAAATGGTGGGGTATGCCCCCTTTGGGGGTAATGGAGCCCTTTCGGTGGGGGTAATGAGGGATTCTGAGAAAGCCTATCTTTTTAGAGTTTGTAGCTCCAGTGATGGAGCCATCGTGACTGTTGCATCCCAGGGTTCAAAGGTTAGCCCAGGCCAAAGGCACAGCACACATTGATTAGATACCAATTTTCATGTACCTGCTCGCCTCACCATCTCACCCCTCCGTACAGTCGTACAAAAGCAGCTGCAACTTTTAACCATCGCCCGTCTGTTGGCGTTTCAACAGCCGCTAACGTAAGGGGGAGGAGTCGTCATCGGACCCCCGCGGCCTCTCGGACTCGGATATGGAGCTGTGCATAAAAAAGACGAGCGTGCTACCCGTGACAATAGGAAGCCGCTGCTGCCCATTTTTAAGGTCCTTGGTCATTCCGTCTCATTCAAGAGGGCAATGATAAGTGTCGAGAAAATCGGGACCCGCTATAACTTCTTGAAGTGAGATTTTATGGCTCAAGATGATCTCCAGAAAAAGCTCATAAGCCAACGGTCATTATGGGTCCAGAGGCCAGTTTTACCAACAGAAAAATAGCCGCCTGCCGGAATTTTTGACTAAAGATCGTTTCACATATGGAGCGTAAACGGTAAAGCCCTATCCGCTTACGAGCCCATCGTGTTTACGCTCCGCTCCGTATATGAAGCGGTCTTGAGGCAAAAATTCCGGCAGACGGTTATTTTTCTGTTGGTAAAACTGGTCTCAAGTCATGATATTTTCCGGGCTGGTGAATAAAAAAAAAATGATGGGCTCGAGGGTACAATTTGGTTGTGATCCAATGCCTTTTACGTGAGCTTTTAACGAAAAACCACCCGCCACCCCTATACGTACAAGGGTTAACCTTCCAGGCGGTGGGGGGGGGGGCATTTTTTGCCCCCCCCCTTTAGTTTTTTTCGATATATCTCGAGAACCGCTGCGCCGATCGTCACCAAACTTTCAGTACCCTCCCGGGAGTAGCTAGTGCACATGGTGACCAAAAATTTTCCAAAGGATATGATAGGTTGGCCGTTAATGACGTCAGAGTGACGTGAATTCTGCCATTTTCGACCAAAAAAAAAAAGGTTTCGCGGGGAGAGCTGTCAGGCCTACAGCTTTAGTGATACAGAAAAATGTTTCAGACATAAAAGGTGTGGAATCAAGAGGGCTACAAAACTGCTATTTCGATTTTTCGAATTTTTTGGATTTTGACCCCCCAAAAAATAGATTTTTAAATATAATAGCCGTAAATCCAACAAGTTTTTTGAATTTCAAAAAAAAAACGGAATATATGTGATAGTCCCTACCGCCTTCTATCTACATACCAAATTTTAGATCGATACCTCTTTTTTGGCCAAGTTATAGCGAAAAAATTGCTCAAAATTGATGACGTCAAATTTTCAAACTCAATTTTTAGCAATTCTAGACCTCATAGCGTAAAACAAAGACCACCATTAGACTCCCCGTGACGAGCTGCATCGAATCAATTCCCATTTTATGCAAAAATATCAACTTTGAAATTTGACCTTTTTTGACCTGACCTTGACCTGACCTCCACCAGAAAGTGACCTAAACCGTACCTGATGGTCTTATAACCAACACCATTGAGTTGGAAATGAAAAACTGGCCATAAAACATGCATCGCACAACGTTAGTAAAGTTGGGTTCATGTGGTGACCCTTGGTGACCTGACCTGTGACCTGACCTGGTATGACCAGTGACCTCTAATAGCAACATATGTACTAGACAACTGACGCCCTATCGCTGATTTTCGACAAAATGCGTTTTACTCGGTGTTACAGCGCTTTCCCTAGAAGCACTGTGAACGGCGAAACATTTTATCTTTGACCTGACCTGTGACGTCATCTGTGACCCCGAGGTCAATGAAATTTGGTTTCCTTTGACCAATTTGACAGGGCTATGGAACGCCGTTTGAATTTTCCGGATCCGTCCAGTAGTTTCGGAGATACGGGGGGGGGGCAAAAAAATGCCCCCTCCCTCCCACCGCGCGGAAGGTGGCTGGGAGGCCCACCGCCTGCCGGGTTAAATGGGATATAGCATAGGCGGCGGAACGAGGAGGGCACCGGGGCACCGTGCACCCTTTGATTTTTGCATTTTAACATTAGCCCTATGGGCGTTGCATGGAAAGAATGGGACCAAAAGTCGGCAGTGACCCCCCCCCCCTCCCCCCTTAATTGAAGGTGTTCCGCCGCTACTGGGATATAGGCATTAAATGTTTTGTGGAGGAAGTGTCATGTTTTAAATCTGATGCATTGGAAATGCACAAATACCCAGAGTTCCAGGACGGTATGGAATTTCAGTAAACTTGGTTGCGTCAGCAATGGGGTCTGGTAGGTGGGGGTAATGGCCCTGCCTGGCGCCCAAAAAGGGGGCACGACCCCGAATGACCTGCCGACCACTGCTGTAGATGGACGAACTCAAAAACGGTAAATTTGGGTGATCGGTTGAGAATAGCGGATTTCTGACACCAGATTCGTGCTCAGCGTGTCACACTTGGTCCCCTAGACTCGTTTTTGGGCAAAGTCGACGGCCCCTGGAGTTTGTCAATCTGTAGATGGACGAACTCAAAAACGGTAAATTAGGGTGATCGGTTGAGAAAAGCGGATTTCTGACACCAGATTCGTGCTCAGCGTGTCAGATTTGATCCCCTAGACCCATTTTTGGGCCAAATTGATGGCCCCTGGAGTTTGTCAATCTATAGATGGACGAACTCAAAAACGGTAAATTTGGGTGATCGGTTGAGAATAGCGGATTTCTGACACCAGATTCGTGCTCAGCGTGTCACACTTGGTGCCCTAGACCCATTTTTGGGCGAAATCGATGGCCCCTGGAGTTTATCAATCTGTAAATAGACGAACTCAAAAACGGTAAATTTGGGTGATCGGTTGAGAATAGCGGATTTCTGACACCAGATTCGTGCTCAGCGTGTCAGACTTGGTCCCCTAAACTAGTTTTTGGGCAAAATCGATGGCCCCTGGAGTTTGTCAATCTGTAGATGGACGAACTCAAAAACGGTAAATTTTGGTGATCGGTTGAGAATAGCGGATTTCTGACACCAGATTCGTGCTCAGCGTGTAACACTTGGTCCCCTAGACCCATTTTTGGGCGAAATTGATGGCCCCTGGAGTTTGTCAATCTGTAGATGGACGAACTCAAAAACGGTAAATTTGGGTGATCGGTTGAGAATAGCGGATTTCTGACACCAGATTCGTGCTCAGCGTGTCAGACTTGGTCCCTGGGGCAAGTTTGGGCGAAACCGACGCACCCTGAATATCAAACTGTAGTTGGATAATCAAAGTGCTGCTAAATTGACAGCAGTTTTCCGTTTGACCTTGAGTTGGCACCAGATTTTGTCGACATATGTGGCGCAGCTTATTTTACTGCATTATTTTAGATACTAAATATTTAGACGTGTGGTGGTAAATGATACCGGGCAAATAATATTGAATCATCGGTGGCATAGTTACCATTGAAACTTGAATAGCATCAATAAAATACAATTAAACTATTATTACTCTTCCATTGATTTTATTGTGTTTGGCAGGCATAGGTAGAAACCATGAAGAGCTGAGCCTGCAGATTGCAGTTGTTCTATTCTATAACTCTTAATAATGCATAAATCAAGGCTACTGAGGGTTGCAAATTTGTCTTTAATAACTTATCTTTAATAACTTATAACCTACCTTCATCTACCATATCTGTAAGAATCTTGCATCAATCATCACCAGACTTCTTAGTTTTTTACATATACCTACCGGCCGCGACAGTGGGCGGGTACGACTCCCTCGCCCTAATTGAGCTAGCCTCGCGGGAAAAACAAGCATGTGTGCCGTTACGGGACAGGGGACGCAGCGATTGATGCACGGTTCAAAAGTCTCAGGTCAACTGGTGGCCTCTGAGAGTCAGGTCAAGTGCCCCGAGGGCCAAAATACGATTTCGGGTTTTGAGAAATAGCTTTATAAAAAAAACGGCGCAGAGTCGCGATTTTAGTACCATCATGTTTGTCATGCTCCGGTGCGTCAAATGGTACACTTTTGATGGGTGGGGTCAACATAAGGTGTTCACATCGGGTCAAAGTCAGGTCAGAGGCACTCGGGTCACGAAGTTGGTCGGAGGAGGTTATATCGTATATCATTCGATTCGGTAGGTCCTCCCGAGTCTATTGGCGACTTTTCCGACTTGCCAGTTCAATTTTATCAGGAGTTATTGACGAAACAACTTGTGACCTTTGTGACGTCATAAATGACGTCACGCTAGGTTAAAGATGCAAAAGTGAAGCATTGGACATTGCAAGAATTGCATGAAATTGCGGTTCCATGTGCTTGAGCTAGGTTTAGATCATTCTCGGCGTCAAAATTACGGTTTCCATATGTTCCCCATTGACTTGTAATTGTGACGTCACGCGATCGGCCTGACCTCATGTGACCTCTAGGAGAAATCCGAGATATACAAGTTTTGAGACTTCTAGAGGATACTAGGTCCTGTAAGTATCATCTCGCTGTGACAGCTCCTCTGGCACCGAGGGCATTGCGAAGTTTCGGTATGTTGGGACTATTGCAGAAGTTCACGTGTGACGTCATAAGTCAGTGATCTGACCTGAGACGGAAATGCAATTGGTTTCCAAAGATGCGTATGGAAGCGAGGATAAAATGTGCCAAATAGCAGCCCTCTAGCTGTAAGGTGTTTTGAGCTATCGCCAAAAGTCGTGAGTGGAGCGCTACCGACTCCTCCGGTCAGCCGCCGGGGGTTAGGAGGCGTGCAGGGTATCGGAAAACCACCTGGTACTTAGCGAATTTTGCCGATAAAAATACGTTTCTTATGCCGACTTGTAGCTAAAAGACTACTGAATCTCAAACCAGTCGTATCCTTGCACTAAATGGCTTGGTTTAGACACGATAGGTCTGAAAAGAAAAGGTCCCATGTATTCTCTATGGGCGCCGCGAGGCCGTTGGCACCAGAGTTTCGGGAAGTGCCCTCGCCACAACCGCACGTGCAGATTTGGTCACGTGACCAAGCGCATTTGCCGCCACTGTATTTATATACACTGTGGGAATGAGGACAGTTACCTGCACATCTCTCGGTACATGGTGTCCGGAATGGCGGTGGTGATGCCGGACCCGTCGCCCGTGTCGTTGTCAGAGCCCGTGGCGCCACGGTGCACCATGCGACACGACAGCTTCTTGGCATCCTCCAGAATCTGAGACAGAAGACAAAATGAGAGCCTGGTTCGAAGCATGCATTCCGCTTCACAGTGTAGGTATTTCACTGATTTGTATATTCAATTCAGCTAAATTCAAAATTATAAGAGATCAAGTTAAAATATTCTAACAAAAAACAAAAAAACAAAAACAAATGACTATGCCAACGCACGAACGTCAGCACAATAATCACAATTGACATAACTGAGCCGGGTGCCCTTATCCATCCCTACAACGCTAGTTTCTTAGCGAGTCCCGCTGACCTCGAGGCTGTCCGCTGCTCATACTTTTTTAGTATATTTTTCTAGTATAATTTAGCCGCTCTCACCTTGTTAGTCCTGATGCCGTCGATGGAGACGATGAAGCCGACGCCGCAGGCATCCTTCTCGAGGGCGGGGTCGTAGAGGCCCACCTGGGCCGGGTAGTCCCACGGCTCGCCGCTGCTCATCCTGGCAGTCGGCCCTCGCCGTTCCGTCTGCAACACAGGGTCACAGGTCAGTCCGTATATCACCACTGTTCAACGGTGAGTGGCATAACGTAATTAATGAGCGAACTGGATACCCAAACAAACACGGAGCCCGCTGTGGATGTCAGAGAACTCATCGTAAAACATGACAGCTCTGCATTGCGGTGACGAGCACAAGACACTAGCATTGGATTCGACTTTACACTAGGGTGCAGTTTCCCGTTCCTAGTACTAAGAGCTGAGGGTCAGGCTGTCGCAACACTGCGTCGCCCGGCGTCTTCGTGTCGCAAACGGAAGCTGCGACTGACTTTTGGAGAGCAGCCATCTTTGCGTCATCCTCACGTGAGGGGGGGGGGGGGGCGGAAGGGAACGGTGCTCAAACAGACAGCACTCGAGCCAGACATATCTGTCTCTCCGACCCAGACATGCCCTGTGTTCTCGATCCTCCTATCGATAAAGGAATTTTCGCCATCCTCGGTCTTTTGATATATGCCTAATTGCAAACATTTTCTGGCCGGACCTACAATACAGTAATCGATATTTGCCCAGCACTCCGGTACAGGTATCTCTGTCTTACCGACACTCTGACTTCGACGGACATCTCTGCCCCAGCCCGGCTCTCCGATCCAGATATCCCCGACCCTCACTCCCCGCCGCCCGTCAGCATCCCGGCCGACTGGGAGTTCGGAATTCCGGGGAGTTCGGAGTTCCTAGTGCGGCGCCCCATCCGCTGGCGACTGACACCATGGGCGTCATGATCATTGATCACCCTTGGGACGATCCTTAGACGGGACTTAGACGGGACGGTCCTAGACGGGACGATCCTTAGACGGGACGATCCTAGACGGGAGTGCACGTGCAAGGACACTCCGAACTGAACATAGGTATTAGGTAGTAGGTAGGGGAGAGTGGGGTAAGATGCCCAGGGTGGGAAAGACGCCCCACCCCCTCTAGCGGCGAAACAAAGAATAGAACCTGGAAATTAATGTTCTTAGCGAAAAGCGGAAGCTTGCCTTGTTAACTGCACAAAAATTTGCAAAGCTCCGTTGGGCAACGGCTGGCTGGTGATTGCATGTTTTTTATTTGCTGCTTTAAAAAAATATGTTGGTGTCAAAACATTGTAAATATCAAAGAAAGCAGATAATTTTTGAGTCCCTTGCTATAGTCGTGATACATTAACATGCGTGTACTGTGTCCCGAACAGTTTGTTTCAGGGTGTAGTTTTATGGCTAACAAATTGTACTGATTTAATGTTGCTTCGGCCCCTTGGGGTAAGATGCCCCCTGTCCTGATTGGGAAAGACGCCCCCCTAAATCCGTAGGCTGTCCTTCAAGCAGCCCGTCAAATCATTTATTACATACTTGTGATGAGAGACAAAAGCCGATTTGGGACTATTGAGAGTCCAGTACGGTCAGGTGCTCCCCATGCCGGTCTCTCGGCACACACAGCGACTTTTTGGGCGGCATCTGACTCTGAGAGCCCTCACGACGGCATCTGTGGGCCCCTTTATTGGCTCCAGGGCCCCTCACGACATCCTTTGAGGGCTCCCACGTTGGCTCCACGGGCCGCGCTGGCATCTGAGGTCCCCACGATGGGCTCGAGGGCCCTCAAGCATCATGAAGACCTATAAGGGCCCCACAGTGATCTCCGAACGCCACCACGGAGGCTTGTTTGGCCGCGCTGGACTATGATGGCCCTAACGATGACCTCTGAAGCCCCTTACGACTACTTTTGATGGCCCTTACGATGACGTTTGGTATCTACTGCAGTTCGAAGGGACTACTGATTCGTTCAGGCGATTCACGTGCCCGTTTATGTCACTTATAGTGCATGGGGCATCTTCCCCAACGCCAGGGGCGTCTTTCCCACCCTGTGGGGTAAGATGCCCCCTTTCACTTCTTCAGGAAAATGCTTAATAGCAAAAAAAGTTATCATATTTCAGGCACGAAAGTGTGATATTTTTGGAGAAAAATGATGTTGGCTTCCGTTGAAACTCCAAGTTTTTGCTTTCCGATCGTCATTTTCGAAAAATATATGTCATAGTAAAACCCTGGGCATCTTTCCCCACTCTCCCCTACGCCATGGTGATGGACTTTGAGCCAACCTGTACGGAAACGAGCCTGTAAACTAAACAATGATAAGCATGTCTGTGGCAGGATCGCATGGCAAGAGATCGGAATTCATGTAAACTTGTCTGGTCAATGGTCATTCATCAGAGAAGCGCATGGTATTGGTCATCGGTAGGATTCCGTTACTAAGTAACTGTTGCTTCATGTCTGCAATATTGTGCCAGCTTTAATTTTATCGTAGGTCGTCCACTAGATAACAATATTCCGCATTTCAGTAAACTAAAACCACGCGAAGTCCAGTAAATTTCCACCGGTAACCTTTTGCAGTTCCTTAGCTATCCGCTGCAGCTGTTTGGTAAATTTCGTTGGATAGTGTTTGGCAGTTCGGAGCAATGCCCCTGCTCGGTAAATTTCCACCGGACTGGTAATATCCTATGGCGGGGTAGATCCCTGCCGATTGGTAAAATTCCACATGGCAACGACCTGTTCCGTTTGGTAGAATCCAGCCGAATCCTCAGTTGACATATTGTCGTTGGGTAAGGTCCTTTATTTTAGTAGAATTCCATCGCTTGGAGGCTCTAAAATCCAGTTTGTGGTGACGTGTTGTCCGGCCGTGGTAGCATTCCGGCGAGTTTCGTTGCCCTTTGATGATAGCCCCTTGGCGGGGTCTTTGGCACACCGCCAGGTCCGACCGGTTCCATCCACTCCCCCCCCCCCCCTCCTCCCTCCCCCTCCAAAGCACCGAGAAGGGAGCCCCCACTGCGCGACCTTGACGAATGCCACGGCCTAGCTGTCTGGAGGAGGAAAGGTCAAGGGTCCCGGAGTGACGTGCTCGAAATACACATTTAACGGCAAGGGAAGGGCGTATAAAAATGGCAAAACGAGATTTTTATATGCTAATAAAATAATAGCTGTGCCCTACAAATATCATTGTAGCATGTTTAATAACAAGAAAAGTTAATTTTCAAGCACTTGACCTGTAAGAGAGCGGAATGTCATCCCTCTATCTGTTTCAGCTGTTCAGCATGTTGAAATGTGGATTTATACGTGTCGATGGGATGAATCACACCTATAAAGAGAGCTGCTCAAGTGTTATTACGTCTTTTTGCGCCGTCTACACAAAAAGCCGTACCACGAGCTAGCTTGCTGACACAGACACATGAGCGCTGACCTTCGCCTGCGTTCAGCTCTGACTCAGTCTGACTGACTGATAGATGGAAATGGGGTCGGTGACCGAATGGTTCTGTGGGGACCACATGGAAACACTAAAAATACAACAGCGTTATATAATGGTAGCCTGGAGGATGCCCTATACCGGCCTCACAGCCGGTAGCAGTAGAGAAAAAAAGACGCCATATGTAGAAAATAGAAATGACAGAAAAGTGACGCATTGACTGGTGATTGATAAAGTGACGATGCCAATTCCGCGATTACAAGATCCGTGCCTCTTCTGCTTGGTTCGTTTGTTGGGTCGATTCTCGATTCTCCCCTCCGTTGTGTTGTGACTAACAAGAGTCTTGAAATAAAGAGCGCTTGATTGCGTTTCTTTAGGTGCATTACTTGAGTTTTTGGTAGGCGTTGCGGGGTTGCCATCATTGCTTATTCTGTCGTGAAAGCTCTCCACTACTTGCATATATGTATTCGACAAAAGGGATAACAAACATCATTAAACAATCATAGCTACGTCCTATCGTGTCACTTGGAGCCAACTGACGTAGAAGAGTTACTTCTACAAATCACTGAGAAGTTGAGAAGTGAGTTGACTCAGTTGCATCCAAGGCCCTATATACCAGGTAGGGTCGTCCGGCGATTCTACCTGATCGTGACGTCAGCTCGTGACGTCATCTGGGGGCAAGTCTTGAAGTCCCGTTTAAGTCCTATGCAAATGGGCGATTTTTGAAGCGCTGTAGAACAAATTCTGCTTAAGCTAGCACAAAACTAAGTGCATCATCGGAAAGCCGAGACATTTTTCTTCGAATTATCTGAGAAACGTTTTTCACTAAACCCATTAGTTTTTTTCCAAAAATGCGTAAAAAGCCCCCATGCCTCTGCAACCTCCCTTCCGCCGGCCGCCACGCCGCCGCGGTAGTGTAGTGGTTAGGATGCTTGCGCCGTAATCCAAAGATCGTGCGTTCGAATCTAGGCGCGGGTCGTACTTAAATCGAAATTGCAAGCAGAATATGTGTTTTTTCTTGATAAATCACTTATATTACAGCTAACCGTTCATAAAACTATCGACAACAATTGACTGAAACCCAAAATATAGAATACATTCTAATAAAACAAATTCAAATATGGCGGCCGTTGCGCCAGGCTCCGCCCCCGACTCCGCCCCTTCGTGTGACGTCATCTGTGCACTTGGACACACAGGGAGATAGGGGACGACATGGGCCTGGTTGCATCAGGGGAATGACGAAACTCCTCCACGTCCCATATCACGCAGGCGTGACGTTATTTCGGTTCCCAGCAGGATCTTTACAGCGCTATACGACTGCCTGGCCGTCCCAGTGGGCACTGTTACCCGCTGAACTGCCGGCCCACCGTCACGAGTGCGGCGGTATTAAACAATTTAACAGGTTAACTTATAATTACAGAGGCACGTCACCCCAAAACGCCACAGAACCTTGAACCTCGGGAGCTAAGTTTTGTTTTGTTTTAATTTTAAGCTCGTTGGAAAGAGAGAACTATAGGAACCGTATCAAAAAGACTTTTGTTTTTATAGACTGCCTGTAAAACATTAAAATATTGATGAAATTGCATATCAGAAACGACACTTGATGTCTACGTTGAATTATTAGCATTCACATGACAGGCCTAAAAAATTAAAACGAAATATTTTTACGCTATTATTCACGCATTAAAAGGCACTGAAGACTGAAAGTTATATACAACTCACCTTGACCTGGCTCTGCTAAGAACTAGATTAAAATTGGAAACTGG